GGAACTTTTATGGTTCGAGAGGGAGCTGCGAGAAGTCAGATAAATTGCCTTAAGTGATGTCACTTGAGTTGGTCGAGGTTGAGGAAATTGAAAAAATAAATAAAAAAATCTTTTGGTGTGGAGTGAGAAAGACGGGGGATTAGCAGGCCTCAATAGCCTGCTCCTCATTTCTGCCAGGTATGACAAGGAAGAAGAATGTGTGGCATAAAAAGATGATTTAAATATCGCGTTTTCAGTCGGTCCCTCGTGAGCCTGCAATGCTAAACCGATGGAGGAGGGAGGTTAAGTTTGGCACTGAAGCAGTGATGCAGATTTCCTACTGTGATAGATATAGACCATAGATAGATAGATAGATAGATAGATTAACAAGCTCTTTCTATGTTTCATCTCTGCACGACAGGAGTCATCTTTCTGTCGTTTCTTTTGTTCACACTCAACAATGCTGCCTATGCTAGCTGTGATGTGACATGCCTGCAGCGTGCAAGGAACTAAAAAATGCTTGTCTCAGGCTGTAATCTTTTGCCTTAATCTTGTGACTGTAGCTGTGTGATAGCATCAAATCTGCAGTTGCAAGTTCCTTAGAAGTAGAGATTACTTTCTGAATAACCAAAGGTACAGATGGGACTTTCAATTATGTTTGATGCTTTGCTGTTAAGGCCTTGGGTTCATTGCATGTTTTCTTCCCCCCACACACACACACTTTGCTTCTTGCTCATATGAAACAGCAGTTGATAGTCTCTCTATTTTACTTGTTCTTTGTTTTTTTATCTGCTCTGTCCATCTTGTTCCCGCCTCGCCGCGGATCCAGGAACATCCGAAGAGGAAGGTACGACCCCGCCTTTCAGTGCTGAGTCCTGAATCACCGTTCATTATGTCAATATAAAGCCATCTGTTTTATAAGAATCCTCTATGATATCAAATATGACTCAAAGATATTTCTAAGCCCGCACACATGTATCTGTCACCTGCTTCTGTGGCCTTTTGACCTTTTTTTTAATCTAATGTTTATTTATATAGGGACTAGTATATAGCATGAACCAATGCCACATACCACAGCATTTATATACCCTGTGCTATTTTGCAGTAATACTTCTACTTAAAATACACTTAATTTAACTTAATCATATTTTATTTGGTGCAAAAAAACTCATGAACAATATTAGGAAACATAATAATCTATACTCTCAGTTTGCTTCATTATCATTTGTACTGCATGTCCCCTCAATACCCTTGCTGCCATTTCTAGAATTAGCTGCGGTGTTGACTTTGTAATGTTCATTTCGTAAGACTTTCAATAATAAAAGGTGTTTTTTGGGTTATTTTTCTTATTATTTTACATTTTTTATCTGCATTAAAGTTGCGACAATTAGGCGATTTATCAGTCAACAAAGAATTAGTAACTAGTTTGAAACTGGGTTAATTGTTAAGGTAATTTTTCACCTTTTAATTCATCTTTGCTGCACTGTCAGTTTATGTCAGATTCCTCAATGTTTTTCTCTTCCCTCTACCTCTTTATCTTCTCCTCCTCCTCATCTTCTTTCTCCACTTCCTTCCTCTTCTCTTTTCAGATCTTCGGGTGGTTGAGTCGTATCTCTGTGCTGTCCTGTCTACCTTACACTGTGTCCAGTCCGCTCTGAGGAGACAAAACAAAGATGTCTTCCACTTACGAACCCTCAGACCTTTTCTGTTTCCTTTTTTCTGATTTCATTGCTGTTCTCCTCCTGGAAAGTCAAATTATCAATTTTTTTTAACTGCGGTATTGAAGCCCTGAGAACACATTCCCACCAGATCTACACGGCTGTCAGGGATTGTCTGGTTACAAATGTCCAAGTAGTCGGTATCGCCTCTGTTTTTGTTTTTCCACCCAGGACACCCACACACACACACAGAGCCCTTAACTGAAGTGTGTTTTCAGTTTTCCCTTCCACTGGTTACAGCTGTTCTTCTGCCATATCGACTGTTATTATGCTTTTTACCCCTTTAAATGATTTCATGGAAGAAGGCAATGTACTTCTACTAGTCTGGACATTTTTGGGAAGCCTTCTGTTAATACACAGTTAACATATTTAACCTCATGGAGAACACAACCACCTCCTTTCAGTGGTGTGACTTTAACTGCAATAGAAGTGTATAAATATCACCAAATAGTGAATATTGACATTTTATCTGTCTAGATGAGGGTTATTTTTATGTGCTAGGCTTTTACATTCCACAGTAATAGCCATACTTTCTCCTTGTATGCTGCGTTTCATTATAAAACAGTAGTCCATCCTAAATCAATGCTTCTACATAATATGCATAAATGTATGAATGTATAGTTCAGGCCTGCAAGGAAGCTAGTTGTGTCTCTACTTTCCTGCCGCCAAGCAGGATAGATAGTTGCACATGTACACACCGAATGTTTTACCCCTGCTGTATGATATGTAATCCATATAACAACCAATATGCATACAAGTATGCTGAACATGGGTGCTGATGTACATAGTGTATCATAAGGTTGACCCATTTAGACAGCAGTGACTCACTGCCGCTCTGAACTGAAGCACAAGTCTGGAGAGAGAAGACTCTTCCTGCCTCTCAGCCTAAAACTGCTCATTTTGAAGATTTATCTAGCAAGAGAGGATTCAAATCTTTGCAGTTTGTACGATTCAGGGAAGTCTGAGCTCCTCTTGTGTGAGTGTTGTATGTTTCGTACATGCCTCGGAGAGATTTACAAGTTTCAAGCTGCAAAATTATGACCTAGATCACAGTTTGCAAGTGCAGATTTAACACAGGATCTCACTCTTATAGTATATAAATTATAATTTCTATGTGCTCAGTCAAGCTGAGGTAATAGAAGCAAAACATTCGATTGCTTTATAATATGCTTTATGTCAAAATGGCTCCAAGATAATTTAATTCTAACTGATTAGATCCATATAATAAGCAATAAATAATATATAATTACAAAAGTTAAAACAAACATTACAACATGTATTGTGAGAAACAAAGAGTCAAATTCTACGACTTTTATGTGCATCACTCTCCATTTATCCTCTCTGGACATCAGTCTTCAATCAGGTTTAAAAGTTGTCCTCCTGTGGTTGTTAGTTATATACAAAGACTGCTGGAGAAGCTTCGTTTCACCAATAACATGATGACAATCTGTGCAGTTGCACGGGTGCCAGAAGAGATAGTCCAAGTTACACTGCCAGCCAACCTACAGTAGCATTAAAGAAATATGTTGACATTTTGAGTGGAAGTCGGGTTGATCAATAAAAAGGCTAAATGACATTCCTAATTGACAAAAATTAGCAGTTAGTCATAGAAACAGTTTTTTTTTTTAGACAAGCTGCTAACTTTATTCAGGTGAAGTTAATAATTTCTCAGAATTTGTCAACACAGACTAAATTTAAAATGTCAATCCATCCCTGTAAACATACTTGAACTCTTTATTCCTTATACACACTGTATCAAATCTAATACTCAAGGACAGACTTGGCCGAAAGCTCAGGTCACACTGTGTTTACTGCCACTGTTTGTGATCACACGTCGTAGTTTGATTCATCAAAGGATCTTGGCGCAATTCGCACATGGAAGTCAGCATTGTTTAGTCTTACAGAAGGGTAACCAGTATTAGCTTTCAATGTAAATACTCATATTACTGTATATTATAAAAATAAATATTAAAACATATCTGAATAACTGACTGTGTGTTCCATTGGACGTGTGTGTGCTGTTTAAGTAGTAGTTCTCTCCTCTTTCTGTTAGTTCTTCTAATTTGTTGGAGGTTTGTTATGTGTGTTGGCTGTTAGTGTCAGCTTATGGAAATGAGGTTGATATTTTTTTTTTAAATTTTTTTTATTTGTTTCTATGAAATGAGGTACAGATATCCCTGGTAGGTCCAGTAAGATAAAACATGCCACAACTTTTCTCCAGTGCGCCCTGCTTTATTCACTAATGCCAAAACCTGAGGGGTTTTCCTCACATACAACACATTGATCTGTTGTGATCAATATGTCACTATTGATACATTGTGTACAAAACTTTAGTCAACTTTTTTCCTTAAAAATACTACTTACTTATCTCCTTGTCCTTTTTTATATACAAAAAAAAAAAAACATCTAACATAACAATCAACTTTTCACATTATTCTCTAACAAATACACTTTTTCATCGATAGCACCCAGAGGATGAAATATAAAAACTCTGATCCCCTAATTTTTCATCTAGCGCCATGAATAGCCAATATTTTTAATTAAATAGCCAAATATCTGCAAAGCTTCAGATGTACTTTGAGCATCACAAAGCTGTTAGCATAGACTCATAAGATCTGTTTTCATAATGTTCAACGAGCTTGAGTTGCACTGAGCAATTTCTTTTTCATTAAAATGTAATTTTCCCAATAATATAATCACATTAACATTTTAATTAATTCCCTGCTTACATAGCAATTATTATGGCATTGTCACAGTTAACTACAAAAATGAATATAATGATAATCTGGTGATGTTACAAAATATTCAATATATTAACAGACTTCTGCCATATGTGAAAAGTGTATGTATGGAGAAGAGTTTGATAATGTATATGAAGCAATTATGAAATGCTCATGTTTTGTGAATATAGTAAATCCACAACTGTAATATTTGTAAAAATATGAAACTTTTATTACTTTATTAGGAAATGTATTTGCATTACATTAATGGTAAATTATGATGTTTACAGCTCTCATTTTAAAGCCATTTATAAATGTTACTAAAATACTAAATAACATGTGTATATCTAAGAATCAGTGCTACTATAATAACAGATATAAAGTACAGTAGTGGTTATCAGTATAAACCTGTGGTGGTGAAGAGTTTGTATTTCGTCCTACTTTGATTTGTAAATATTTTTAAATACTCGCAGGAAGTCAGTGATGCTCCTGCGTGTTTGTTGAGGACTGAATTAAATCTGTGTGTCTGTACCTTTTACATAACAACAGGTCTGAGCACAGACAACATTTCTCTGTCAATCAATACAATCAAACGTTTTTTTAATATAAGTACAAAGAAGAAGTTTTCCATACAGACGTATTAATCATAGCAGTTCAGGGGTTAAACATACTTTTTAATAAAGTAATATACTGTATGTAACAATTAACAGCTCAAAGATAAAGACTAGTAAATACAGTGATAGCTTTATGTAGTTCTTAACTTTATTGTCATTAAGCTAAGTCATGAATCAATGCTTAGACCTTTAAGTAGGTGACATGCACACTATGATATTCATCATTGACTGTAATATACAGTATTTTACTCAATCTAGACAATAAAATGTTGACTCTAGTGAGGAAGTAGGAACTAGTAGGAAAGTGAAAACAGTTATTGACTTTCTTTTATTTCTTAAAAACAGAGTAGATGAATATAAACAAGGATAATTAAACCACACTGTGTGTAAAACTACCTTATTTATCTGACTAATGACTCTAAAATGACCGACTAATTAAGGATATAAATGACATATTTAGATCTACTGCTGTGTAAAATCCTCACTCTCGGCTCTCTTCAGACTCCCCAGTGTCTCCTTTGCCCTTCGGCTGGCTCCAGTCAGCATAGATGGATTCCTCGTAGTCTCCCATCCCTTCAAACTCCACATCGGGAGACTCAGAGGCCAAAAGTGCAGCTTCCTCTGGTCCAAGAAAATCCTCAAATAACAAAACAAGAATTATTTTTGACGACATTTAGAGGTGTTTTTGAACCCATAAATGTTTAATACAGATTGCATCACACTCTGTAGATGACTACATAAGGAACTACAAATCAATATTTTTAAAGGATTTCTCTTGATAACATTTAAGTTTTCTATATTCCAACATTTAACAAACAACTTTTTGTTTTCACATCACTGAAGAGCGACTGAAAGTAATTCTGTCTTAAATAGCTTCAACGTTTCTTCTTCCTGATGTTTTGGGAAACCACATGTGCTTGTTGTTTGTTGCTTTTAATCTCACCTCATCGTCCAACTGAGAGTACTTCTCTGCTAATGTCAGCATCTGCTTTTGAGCGAGCGTCTGGTTATAGTGTTTGAGAGCCTCCTGTGTAAATAGGAACAGATCAACAACACACGACAGGAGTGTGAGAAGAACAAACTAATCATCTGCACCCGTTCCAGTTTCTGCTTCAGATCAGCTGAGAACCAAGTGGTTGGTTAGTGGCTTCCAGCAGATACAGTATTTCTATTAATTACTGATGGAGCATAATAAACAATTGGGTTGAACTGCTTATTTCTCCTTTAACTCTACAGTACTGACATTTTCATGCTTGTTTTGGCATCTTTTTATGTATTTATTTGTATTTTCAGACAGTTGAGACAGATTACAGATTTGATAGTGATATCTGGTTTCCCTCTCACCATCCTGGGTGTGAAGTGGTCGGACTGAAGGCCCCACTGTTCACTGTAGGCTTTATAATACACCAGATTCTGCTTCATGACCTGGTCTTCGGGTTCAAAAAGGAAGTAGCTGTATGCACAGGGCACCGCGCTGCGGCCCTCGTTCACTGGTCAGAGAGAAAAACCAGCAGATACACAGATGAATGTTGTTGAGGAATATTATTCAGTGATGGAAAGCTCAGTTGGCGACAGTAAACTTACACTTGTAATAGGCGTATTGGAGGTAGTGGTAAATAGTGGCCACAAATTTCACCACAAAATATCCCCCAACATTAGGCATCAAGTGTTCTTCACACTTCAGCTTACACTGTAATACGTCAGTGTAGACATCTGTGGAAGAGCAGAGCAGAGATTATAAAGACTCTCTTGTGTTTTCAGTTTCTCCTACATGCTTGGAAAGACGGAAGACGGTGAGGTGAGGGGGTTGTAATCTGCAATTACACTGCTAGATGCCACTAAATCCTACGCTCTGGTCTTTCAGGTGAAAGTACTGTTATATTATTGTGAAAGTACTCCATTACAAATAAAAGTTCTGCATTCAAATTTATCCATCTTTCTGAAAACAGTCAATTTCTTGTTAAAGGATGAATTTAAGGTGATTATACACTAATAAAAACATATATTTCTGACAATAGATCATCCTAAATGTTGCACACTGGACCTTTTAAGCCTGTTTTATGTGTGATGCTCTGTAGTAGTAGTGTTATCTGTTCATGTCAGCCATTTTTAAACTAACCTGCCACGACTGCGTAGAAATCACTGTCTGGTGAAAGTTGAACGATCCCTTCACAGTCTGCCTGACAGATGTCGTACTCATGCAGATAGAGCCTCAGCGTTTCCTCCATGTATTCAACACTGCCGCTGTAGTCACCTGAATTGATGAGATTTACTCCTCTTAGGAAGGAGGGCTGGAGAGGAAATGATTGATACTCAGGAAACAGCTGGCAGGAGAGGAAGAGTCTCATGGGAACAGTTCTTTTCAGTCTTTCATTACTCGAGCAGTGGTGTTGACAAAGGAACCCTTTGTTGTACAGCTTTTTAATGATTGACAACAAATGAATTTAAAATGTCTGTACAGTTGAAAACGCAGTGATCTAGAGAGGGAGTGGGATGTTTTTTTGCACTTTAATGTGACTATTTTGTTGGATACTTTTGGTACTATTTCATTCCACTTTTTCATTTCAGAAACTGATTTGGATTTGTTGTTTTTTGTTGCTGTTGATGTCGTATTTAACTGTAACTCTATCACGCTGTGTATACTATACAGATATGTTTTATAAAGTACAGAGACTAGCGTGTCCTCACCTCATATGGTTGTTCTTCGTGGTCTGTGAGGTAGCCGCTCAGGTTGTACTGGCTCTTGTACTCTTCCATCAGTAGATGCATCTCCTGGTCCTCAGGGTTCTTCTGGAGGAAGGTGTAGGCACATGGGATAGCCCTCTGCAGGTCATTCAACTGGGGGGTACAGAATTACCTCACAATTACCTTGTTAGGAAGATGGTTGATAAGTGATGCAGATTTTAGCAAAAAAAAAAAAAAAAAACATTCTATTTGTTAATGGTTATTTTGCCTTTGTGTCAGGTATCTCCAAGTCACAACTGAGGATGCAGTCTTCAACCTTTGCCTAGATTTTATTTTTTTGTTTTATTTATAACTGTAATCCCTATTTATTCTATTGATCTGCAGCCAGCTGAATTTTAATGAAACTGTACCATTGCTCATTTCCAAGAGCCGCTGGCATACTAGAACCAAACTTTCAAATCCACTTGTTTAATGGAACAACTCAGATCTCAATAAAGACATGTTAGAGTAAAGAGGATGTTTATAAGCCCTTTTAAAGTTGAACATGTTTGATTGGTACTAATGAAATCATGGCTGTGATGTGTTGATGTGAAGTGTCCCACAGTGTCTCACCCTGGAGTGCGCAAAGTGCAGATATCTGTACGGAGATCTTCTTCTGAAGTCCTCCAGGATCTCTCTGCCGGGGGGAGGCAGCTGCAGCGCGGGGAAATGCGCCCTGCACTTCTTCTGACAGGACGCCCTCATCATAACGAGCCAGTAGACGCGGAGGTCCCGGCTTCCTGTGAACGACGGTTCTTCATGTTTGCTGCTGTTACAGAGCAGCACGCAGTATCTCACGCTGTCTTTAAGAAGCCGGTGCAAACGCAAACTCAGTTCCAAGTATTTGATCGATTCCGTCCACTTCTCTGCTGCGTAATGATCCAAAGCCAATCCATACGCAGTGTTGAGGGGCATGAGCTCCTCTTTGGGGAAATTTTTGAATTTGTAGTTTTCATATTGTGCGGCTGTCATAAAAACAAAGGTCAAACAAAGCAACGCCAACAATGCGTCTCCTTTTGCGCAAAACACAACCATGATAAGATGATATCCAACATATTAGTTCGCTTCTTCTGTCCTCTGCTGCTGGTAACTCTCTCTGTCTGTGTGGGGGTCTGCTGAAGTGCTTAGGGGTCTGTGGGAATTCCGGGATTGGGCCTTTCAGAGGTTAATGTCTCGGGTTTCTCAGTGCAGGCCTACAGCTGTCACATGCGTTTCTTTATTTGGCACAAGAATAATAGTCGTGCGTAAAAGTTAGTGTTTCTGTTTGTATCCTGTTTGTTCTGGTGTTGTCCGTTGCTCACACGTGAATAAATAAAATGAGATGGATAAAAACTGCATGACAAAGGAAATTCTTTCGGGTTTTAGGACATAATATTTATGTGGTCTGTGGTGTAAATTTGCGGATCAGAAGGTTTATTTTATTTTCGACAGTAGAGGTTTTGCCCAAAACAGTTTGGGATAATTTGACCTAGTTGTTCTCTTAGTCATTCACTGAGGTGCCCTGGGGATATTGGGCAGGAAAACGAATTCCTTCCCAGACTTGACCTGGCATGTTTATCCCTCTTTTGACGTTTCGTCGCCTCTTTTCACAGCATTAATGAAAAAGCTTCAACTTTGGGGGCTCTCGGGCCACTTTACGGCTCCGAGACGCTGATCCAGAGAGGCGGACCTCTTTGCGGTCTGCAGCTGTACAGTGGTGATGAAGAATCAAACCAAACAGAACAATAGCGACTTTTCTTTCAAAATAAAAGCGGAAATTGCCCATTTTAAAAAGGACTGTCTCGCTTATTTTATTTCTAAGGTGGGAGAATATTGAAGTTATATCATATCTTCTTTAATTTCCTTTATTCGTGTCGTTTCAGCTACAAAACCTCCCATCTAGTTTGATGTTCTTTTATTTTCTAAAGGAAGTACCAAGTGATCTTTTCTCATTGTTGTTAACTTGCTATGGGGCGCTTCCCCCTCCCAACTCCGACATTCCTTCCCTCTGGTAACAAACTCTGCTCACCAACCTGGAGATTGTCCACGTTTACAGCATTCACTCCGCTGCCCTGCTCCACATCTGCAGCCTCGGCCCTCTGCAGAAATTGCGCACACGATCGTAGGCCTCAAATTTACCCATTTTCCGGCATTTAAAAAAAAAAAATTAGAATTAGATTTGAATCCCTTTAAATTATTTGACGTGATTCTGCAAAGATGTTTTCTTGCTGCGTTGTCGTTTTCCTCCTCACTGCGTGGTCTTCCGTGGAGTGCAACCCCAGTCCAGTGTTAGGAGATGTAGTCGTGGACAGATACTCCATCCCCGAAGTCTGTGCCAGAGAATCGAAAACTGGAGATTACGTTCGCTATCACTATAACGCAACATTTATCGACGGGAAAACATTTGATTCGAGGTAAGTTTATCCGCATTATGCGAACTTTTCTGAATGCATTTATTTGAAGTTTTGTGTCTTTGCTTTCAAAGTTGGTCATTATTCTGCAGAGGCCATAAAATCGGATGCTAAGTTTGGTTAGGGTTTAGAAGCAGTGTCATTTCAGAAAAGTAAAAAAAAGCAAAAAACTTAAGATTTATATGTCGAAATAAGTTTGCAATAGTATAATAATAAACATCTAGATGCATGTCCTAAAGATGCAGTCCTTCTTTCTCCAGAGTTTACGTCGTTTTGTCTGTTTTTAAACTTTTTGCTTCCTTCACACAGCCATGAGAGAGGAGACGCCAAGGTGGGCCTGCTGGGGGAGGGCCGCCTCCTCGCTGGCATTGACAAAGGTCTGCAGGGCATGTGTGTGAATGAGCGCAGAAAGATCACGGTCCCACCTCACCTGGCCTATGGGGACGCCGGTGCAGGTAAATGGAAATGTCTTGAAATTCTTTAAAAAATGAAGACCAATGAATGAGATGATTTAGTTTCTGGTAGATTTGTCAGACTAATCAGGAGTTAACATCTGAGATTTCAGGTTGGCCCCAGACCCTCAGGGGGAAGGTTTTGTGGTGTCTATGTGGCACTTACTTTGTGGTTATTTGTTTAAAGGACCAGTGTGAAGGATTTAGTGGCATCTAGTGGTGAAGTTGCAGATTGCAATTAACTGAACACCTCTCACGTCTGTATTTGATGACCTGGGAAGGAGAATGATCTGTGAAGTGTGTAGGAGGAACTAAAGGAGGGTGCCAAACTTGCAAAAAAAACAAAAATCTAGAGCCAGTGTTTGGTTTGTCCGTTTTGGGCTACTATAGAAACATGGCGGTTCAACATGGACTCCATGGAAGGTAACAAGCAGCATCTGTAGATAAAAACATCTTATTTAAAGGTAACAAAAACAAAATGTTTCCTATATTCAGGTGTTTATACACTAATGAAAACATACCTATGAATATTATATTTCTCCCAATAGATCCTCCTAAATGTCACACACTGGACCTTTAAGGTCTCATTCCACAGAGGCCTTCAATTGGAACGGGTGTGGATTATAGTTCTTCTGAATAGTTCTGAACACTTTAGTCTTTACTGTCTTTACTGTGTAAATCTATCTAACCGTCCTCCAACCACATTTGCAGGGGATGTGATTCCTCCAGAAACCACCCTGGTGTTTGACATCCATCTGTTGGATCTGTGGAACAAAGCCGACCTAGTTGTTACCAAAACCATCACCACTCCCAAAGACTGCAAGCGGTCTGTGATGCGCACTGACTTTGTGCGCTACCATTTCAACGGCACTCTGCTCGACGGCAGCGTCTTTGACTCGAGGTGAATTCTTGGCGTGGACGACTGTTGGCGTTTGGTAGAAAGGTTTCCTGTCCAAAGTGATCTTGTGCTGACTTTTGCATGAAACAGTACAGAAAGTGATTAGCAATTGCAGCCTTAAAAAAATGTAAATAAACAGTGAATAAGCTTAATGTCATTCTTATGTGAAGCCCTGTCCAAATGACAGCTCTTGTGTGTCATCCAGGTATGTTGTGTGTTTTGACTTTGCGCTTGTATGAGCCCTACGTAGCTACACAAGGAAGCAGACCCATGACTCCTTAGTGGGTGAGGGTTGGCTGATTAAGGGCATGGATGAAGGCCTGCTGGGCATGTGTGTGGGAGAAATCAGAAATATCATCATCCCACCCTTCAAAGCCTACGGAGAAAAAGGATCAGGTGAGTACAAATGACATCAGAAGAGAGAGAGAGTAATTGAGGGTCAAACTAAAGGGGCTGGGGAAAAAAAAGAGGTGATTGTTTACATTTGAATCCCTAAAATAACATCTTCTCAATAAAATGCATATACACAGATATACAAATACTTTTTCTTCATGGAACTTAAACCAGTTCTCCAGTCTGGAGTTGTTGTTTTATTACTAATGCTATAATGTTTATAGGAACTGGTCCCTGTTTGTTTACATGTACAAGAGGCTCATGTACGTGAACATGGATGTAAACATTGCACAACAAAAAGTTGGCAAATTATGATTGAGGGAGGAAATGCATTCATCATGTTTGGGAGGATATACAGTTTGTTTGGAGGTGACGAACTGAGAATGTAAACATAACTTTTTTTATGTACAAGAAAACTCCACAGTTAGAAAAACAGTAAACTAAGGCTGAAGATAAGCAAAATAATCCCATAAACTGCTGATTTAGAAATATAACAAGTAATAATACAGCATGCTCGTACACTGTAATGAGCAGGGATTTTCCCCCAATATTTTAATTTATATATTTTATCATTTCCAGTTATACTTAATCAGCTAAAGGACCTGTGTGTAGGATTTTGTGGTATCTAGGTGGTGTAGTTGCAGATTGCAGCTCTCTGGCATCACTGTTCACTTCCAAGCATCCAACAAGATCCGACTAGTAATTGATAGGTCATATAAATCTGGTCAAAACAATATATTAAAAAAATCACCAAAATAAAACTCCCCTCTTTATAAAACCACTTTTCTTTTATGTTAATGTTGCCAGATGTTGGTAGGTGTATGGTCTGAAATTCTCCACCCTTTGATCACCAGGTACAGAGATTCCCTCCCAGGCAACCCTTGTGTTTGATGTCCTGTTGGTGGACATTCACAACCCAAAGGATAACATCACTGTTGACAACCAGGTGGTGCCTGAGTCATGCACACGCAGGTCTGTGGTTGGGGATTACATCCGGTATCACTACAACGGTACCTTCCTGAACGGAGGCACCTTTGACACCAGGTGAGCTCAGGTCACACTGCAGTTATAATGCATCATTTGGGGGATTATTCTGCTGCTTGTTCTCTGTTGTGTCTTTTCTTTCGGTTTATTGTGGGTATATAGAGAACCTAATTCCTGAGAACTGTAATCATAAACATGCAATCCTATTTTTAAACCCTTCTCTAAATGTCAACCCATCAGTTCAGTAGAATTTCCCTTTAAGTATAATTCTAGTAAAAGCTACCCTTCTGGAAATTAAACCGTGCTCGTCTGTTACTGCCAACAGCTACCAGAGGAATAGCACATACAACACCTACATCGGTATGGGGTATGTGATTGCAGGCATGGATCTGGCCCTGCTGGGAGTCTGCATTGGAGAGAGGAGGAGAGTCATCATCCCCCCACACCTGGCGTATGGAGAGCAAGGAGCAGGTAAGTCGCTGTTACTGTCAGACTGAATTGATTTAAAATTGATTTAATACAATCAGTGTTGACACAGAGTTAAGGTTCTGGAAAAATAACCCATTAGCATTTTGGTGTAGAATATAAACCAAATAGATAATGACCAAAAGATATAGAGAGGACATCTTACAGTGAAGTAATATGAATATATATATATGACATATTTTTAGTTATTGTTCAGTAAAGATAGGTGCTAAAATGATTAGATAATTGACTCAGATCATTCATTTAATTCAAACATTTACTGGTTGGAAAATCTAAATGTGACTATAAATTAAATACCTTTTGGATTTTGGACTGTTCGTCGGACAAAACAAACTATTTAATGTCACTTTGGGAAACTGATCGGCGTTTCTTTTACAGTGTTATAGACTGAAAGATTAACTGAAGAATTAATTGAGAGATTAAACTATAATGTGTTGGCCTGATAATCAGATAACATAACCCAGGTCACAGTCACATATTTTCATGGTCACAGGTTGTGTATAAAGTTAAAAACACTGATGTTAAATGAGGTTATAAGCAGATCTCAGTGTATCTGAACTGTGAGTTACCATAATGATTAAATATCGTCTATGTGTGGTCTTTCCAGGTGACGTCATCCCCCCTTCAGCTGTCGTGGTGTTCGACATTCACGTCATCGACTTCCACAACCCCAACGACACAGTGGAGATAAAGATCAACTACAGACCCGAGGACTGTAACGAGACCACCGGGGAGAACGACCTCGTCCGCTACCACTACAACTGCACCCTGGTGGACGGCACGCCGCTCTTCTCTTCGTGAGTCACACCGGACGTCCTGTATTTATTTTGGATCGATAAAAATAAACAATCAATTACCACTTTTAAATTTGATTTCAACCCCCGTTCCCAGACACGACTATGACAACCTTCAGGATGCGGTGCTGGGGGCGGACAAGGTGATCGACGGTCTGGACCAGGGCTTGCGAGGCATGTGCGTGGGAGAGAAGAGGTTGGTGACGGTGCCTCCTCACCTCGGCCACGGAGAAAAAGGAGGTGAGACTCCCGCTTTGTCTCATAACAACCGAGAGCATGAGACACTACCACACTGTACTCTTTATTCTTTATCAGGAGCAAGATGGGTTGCTTTATTGTCAAAGAAATAACTCCTCTGATTTATGATTCTCCAATAATTCTAATCAATCTACAATTAAAACATTTGAACAGTTTTTTGAAGTTATGTTAATTCTGATGTCAGACTTTAGAAGTCGGGTAGTTCTACATATGCACAAGTACACTTCCCAAAGATACTAACAGTGTTTTTCTCACTTTTTATCCGTCAGCCACTGGTGTGCCGAGCAGTGCTGTGTTGGTCTTTGATATTGAACTGGTGAGCTTTGAGAAGGGAGTGCCACCTGGTTACCTGTTTGTGTGGCTCCAGGACACTCCTGCAGACCTGTTCGAAGCCCTGGACACCAACAAGAACAAAGAGGTGCCTGAGGAGGAGGTATGTTACTGCTGACGGTGAAACCAACACCTACATTATTTCACATGGCCGTACCACTGTGTTAAAATACTCCATTACGAGTCCTCCATTTATAATTTGACTGAAGTAAAAATACAAAAGTATTAGTGGAAAAATTAACTGTAAAAATACTTCTTATGCAGAAAAGTATTCATTATATACATTATATTTTTGATTTATTATCTTTAATTGATGCTTTCATGTGTAGTATAATTTTACTATTGTTGTTGGTCGAGGTTACAAACAAATATTTTACAAGATGAACACATTTCTTGTATGTAAAATCAATAATTTGACTTATTTGAGTTGTGTAGTATTTCTGATCTTTTTATGTAAATCTAAAAAGTAAATATTAACTACACTACACATAGAGATGTAATGGAGTAAAAAGTAAAACATTTTGTATAAAGCAGTATGTATTAAGTACTTTTACAGAAGTAAAGGTACTTAAATGTATACTAAAGTACAGTACTTGAGTAAAATTGGTGGAGCCTATGATTAAACCCACTAAGATTTGAAAATAGAAACTTTGGCTCCATCTGGGGGTCATACCAAGAATGATTCTGCTGTTTGTTTCATTGATTTACAAAAACATATCATACTTAATATGATATCAGAATAATTTAAGAGAGAGATTAAAAGTACATTCTTGACCTTAGAAACATCCTGAAAGGTCCATCTAGTGGCCATTCTGGAGCTTTCAATCACATTACATGATCTTCCATCTTGCTTGAAGAGAGAATGTTTAGTCAGCCATTTAAAAGACATAAAAGTTGTACGGTTGAGCCCCTTTACAGACATGCACCCCTTTAACGTGTCAGTCTAAACTAAGTGAAAAGATCACTGATTATGAACAATAGTAAAATATTAGGCTGTCACTGACTCTTCATCACATGATGACGAGTTAATTCCATGACCTCCTGTGGACACAACCGGTGAGACAGTGTTTTCTCACTGCTAACATCTCAGACCTATCACTGGAAAAGTCTCGTTCAACCTTTTTAACTTTTATCTCTCGACACACTCTAGTTCGGCGAGTTCATCAAGCTGCAGGTGGCAGAGGGCAAAGGTCGCGTTAAGCCCGGACTGATCATGGAGCAGGTTATTGCCGACATGTTCAACAACCAGGACCGAAATAAAGATGGAGTGATCACGGCCGAAGAACTCAAACTGAAGGTAGAGGAGGACAAGGAAAGGGAAGCGGCGAGGCATGAGGAGTTGTGATGAGGACAAATGTTTTCATTCTCTCAGGGATGAACCCCGGCATCTTAAAAACAAGCAACAAGAGACTTTTCCTATACGCCATCATGGTTTATTACTTTCTGTACCACAATGACAAGAAAATAGTGCAAATGGTCTTTTTGTGGAGTTTTGTGTTTTATGTTTGATTTTGATTATTGCATTTCAGAAAAAACAAACAAGCACCTTTTTTTTATTTTTCCCTGAAAGTCACATTGATTAAAATGTTTTTAAGAAAAAGACAATTTCATTTTTTTTTCTAGGACGTATCCCAGCTAAAGAAATCGTCTGACACAACTGTACCTGTATTTATGACAGAAAGAGATTAGCACCAATATATTAATTAACTGTTGTTAGAGGCTGATATCACCTTTAAAAAAAGAATGTTTTTTAAAGCTGCATTTTTGGTGCGAGATACAGAGTTGCAACATTTCTCAAAGTTACACTTAATGGAGAAGTGCGCCAATTTGACAAGTCTTGTAAACCAGTCGTTTTACGGGTTTTGTCTCCAAACAAAGTGTTGGAGGTTGAGTTGCATTGTAGGAAGAAGTGTGGAATAAAAAAGATGATATGTCTTGTTCTCCTGAATCGATTTTGATACATTTTAGTGCAACACTAAATTGACGGAGTAACAAAAACATAATACTATACCCAACATTACCACCTGTCTGATAAAAACACAATATAAGTTTGGGTTTAATCACAGATATTTGCCATATTAGTGGGTTTTTTTTATGAAGGTGATCACACAAAAGTGACTTTGTAAAGTAGAAATGTTGCTGCACCAGATGTTCTTTAATAAAATAACTTTTAAAAAGCTTTAAAAAAACACAAAGCTTAGTGGCGATTGCATCATTGGAAATAAATGGTTTTTCAGCAGCAGCATTTTAAATGATGCATGATGTGTCATTTAGGGTCAAATTAGTAACAGAGTAAAAGTATTAGTCATTTTAAAAAACAGTTACTTAAAATCAACATATTGTACACTTGCATGTCTAATAACTAAAAATATGCATTGGTTTCAGCTGATATTGTGGGAAAACTATTGCATACTGGTATCAACTTATAAAAAATGAGAATATAGGTATTATTAATATTGATGCATCTCTAATAGAATTTAAAAGCTATAACATGATTGGTGGCCATCTGTCAATCTAGTGACCACTTACTGTTATTGATTAAAGGGATACTTCACATTTTTTAAAATCCCATTTAACTTAACAAGACTTAAAAGGTATTAACATTAGTAAAGGAATTCGTCATTATTTTCCTGAAACTTCTTGCATTTTACTGGGAAAAAATCCCAACGTATGATAAATAAAATACCATTTTAACAAATGTGGACTACACATTACAAGTTAGTTAGTAAAATCTAAATTAGGCCACTTCTTTTCTTCTAACACACCTATATATAAGTGTAACTAGCTTATTGTTAAATCCTAATTTATAGCAGCCACAGTGTTTCATTTGAAAGACAAAATACTCATTCCAGATTGTATATTCCCTTCTTGGGAATACTGCCATAACATGTTTGTCTTCACTGTTACAGGTTAAAAAAAAAAAAAAGGTTAAAATAACTCAGTTAACAGCAGCTTTAACAGCTTAAAGACCGTAAACTGTACCCTGCAAGTAAACTCAACATGAGCATCAAGTACTGGCAGCGTACACAGAGGTAATATACAGTACACACGAAGCACACCAGTGTCAATACAAAGTAGAAGACCGCAGATAAAGAGACATTTACAAATCTTCGCTCTCATACACAATGTTCATGTTTAAGCAGCCCATCCTCATACTGTAAATAATGTAACATTTTGCAAGTAAAAATACAAAAATGTGAAAAATTTTTGTTCTAAAAAGGTGAAGAGGACAAAATTACAAATACACTTTGTCATAGTTTGTACTGACACTTTCAAGAGGTTGCTGATTTGTTTTCAGAGGGAGTGCTGCTGATGTATACTTTATGCATTTTAAACAAGACAATATAAATTCTCACTTAACTGAGTTCTGTTGAGGTGGAACATTGTTATTCTTGTGCTACGGTTAATTAAACAGCAGGGAGAACAGAGTTTTACTCAAAGCCCAGCCCTTAAATAGTCTGTTAAGTTTCTGGCATAAATCACAAATTCTTCTGAATTGCAAATGCATGACCTAATTTAGATCTTTTAAACCTTTGATATACAGCAAATACAGGTCAGAACACAGAGTGTAAAAATAAAAAGACTTCAGAGTAAAGAGGCCAGTGGATGCGGCTGTGTAGAAGTCCAGTCAAGGTCTGGTCTGAGGTAAGTGGTGAACGGAGTGAACAAGCCCATCTGTGTGTATGTGCTCATAAAGTGTGCGGCTCCTCCTTGTGCATCTTACTTGTTGTCTCTTGATGAGGTAATGTATCTGAGGACGGCGTTCGGAACGTCCATCGTCTCGTCTTTGACCAGTACGATGTCAAAGGAGTTGATGTACAACTCCTTTCTCTCTTCAACCTGAGACAAACAGAACAATTAGGACGCAATTTCTAAAACGTTACGTGCTGATATAATGAATCCCGGGATAACACTGTCCGTTAGTCTGACCTGGTCGTTGAGGAAGCCGATGGTGAGGATGTTCTGGTGCTCGGGCACCCCGTCGGCCATGGTCAGGTCTCCTAAAGAGTCCCCCAGCAGCAGCACGTTGGGTCGACCCTGCAGCTCTCTGAGGCCAGCTGCATGTGTCAGAGCACCTTCCCTCTTGTTGAAGGTGTGGATCAGCTGGCCTTTGAAGGCTCGAAGGACCCCCTAAATAAGAAGACAACGTTCAGTTACAGGTGCATTAAAATAATGTTGATTCTTGTATTAAAATATATGATAGTGTTGCACTAAAGGTACATTAAAAGGTCCAGTGTGTAACATTTAGGAGGATCTATTGGCAGAAATAGATTGTTGAGGTTTGTTTTATTGTTATTTATTAGTATATAACCACCTAAATATAGAAATCGTTATGTTTTTGTTATCTTAGACTGAACTGTTTTTATCTAAGGTGGGTTGCCTTCCCTGTAGCCCGCCATGTTGAACCACTGTTTCTAGAGTAGCCCAGAACGGTAGCTGTAGATGGGGACTTTTAAGCGTCGTTTTTCAGCCACCGTAGTTCCTCCTACACACTTCCCAGCCAGTTCTCATTCCCAGAGACGTGAGCAGTGTTCAGTTAGTTGCAATCTGCAACTTCAGAACTAGATGCCACTAAATCCTACACACTGGTCCTTTTAAATAAAATGTTTACTGATCTATTAGCAACAAATAGACATTATAACATGATACATTAAACAACAGAGATAAATTATGGGAAATGGTGTCGGTATCATTGATTAACAAACCAATGAAGCCTCCACTGATACTGTGTATTGCTGAAGGCCAGCAAAAAAACTAATAGTGGAAGATCTTCTCAACTATTTAAATATAATAAAGCACATGATATAAAATTATTGGAAAGGCCAGGGGTGGGCAAACTCACAGTCTGGTCAAAGTCCATGTAGTTTGAGATTATGTGGACGTTGGGATGGAAGACGTTATTCTGCTGAATCACCTCCTCCAGGACGTCTCCAACACCAGCCGAGAAGATCAACAGAGGCACCTGTTGCTCCTCCAGATGGTCAAAAAACACTTTGTAGCCGTCCCTAAAGAAATCACACACACACACACACACCACCCATTAGACACAAGAACCAACGATTATGCACTCGTTTATGCATGCCAAGAATGTTTAATAATCCTGAGCAAGTGTTGTAGATTCTTCCGTAATCTGTTGTCAAATAGTAAAACAAGAAGTTATAGTGGTGTAATCTATGTTCAATCTGCTGGACAAACATCTAAAGTCAGATATTTGATTTTACTAATCCACTACAATAAAGTTATTGTGATGTTTTCATTGGAGAGCACCTGCATGGCAATGGAATAAACGTTCTTATTTATTCTCTCTAGAACCAGTGTTTGTTATTATGAAATGTGAGCATAGTGTGAACCTGAGCATAGCACTGGACTCCTTGACAGCCTGGGCCAGCCTGTCCTTCCTGATCCTCTGCTGAATCAGCAACTCGTGGACTTTAGTCCACCTGTAGAGAGCAGCACAAGACAAGAGTCATATTTCCATCAGGGTTGGGTTTGAGTCATTTTTCTTTGGTACTTTCAGGAACTGGAACAGTTTAAACACAAGTGTGTGATTTGTCATTGTCAAAATACAATTTCATTTCAGTATGTGCTGAAAGAAAATTAGATTAGATTAATAGACGGGTTTATTATTTAGATCAGTCTGTTTATTTCTTACCATTCCACCATGAGAGGCAGCTTCTCTTCAGCACTCCTGCCAGGGTCAATCTCTATGGGATAGTAGGTGTTCAACAACTCCCTCATCTACAGTGGACCAACAAAACATACCCGTCATATGTTTACAGAACACCTTGCACCATTACTTGCTGCTTACAGACCAGAGAACATAAGTTCATCTTGCAGTTCATGGTCAGCTACAGTTACTGCAGTGGAAACAATTAAATAAAATCAATCCATCAACTTTTATCCTGTGACTGTAGCACATTTACCTTTTTAGTACAGTCTTCATTGATCAACAACCGGGTGTCAAGGATATCTGGAAGAAGAAAACATGTTCAGAAAGGAGCAAGACATTCAGATAGTCAGACTGTTTGTCCAAGATGCATATAATCTTTTAAGAAGAGTCAGACATCTGTGGCCTGTGTGCTTACTGTGCGTGGTGGGCACTCTCTTGCCGTTGTGGGCGAATTTGGTCAGTGTCATATCGAAGTCTGAGATTACCTGAGGAAACAGTACACAGCAAACACAGATACAGTACAATTTTCTCCAATTTAGAAGGGCAAGGTACATTTGCGTTTTTGTATTTATTTGTAAAAAGCTCACAACTCTCAGTTATTACTGGACCGAGGTTTATGAATGAAAATCACATGGACAAACAAGAGGACTGACAGGACAGATAATCAGTAACTGTCTTCCTGTGAGTTCCAAGACGGTGCAAGTTTAATGTCAGTCTTTAATTTTAACCTTCATTTTAAAGGACTCTCCACCATAGACTACCTTCTGTGGTGTTTATATAAGTAGTATGTAATTAGGTGAATATTGGTATGAGTAACTGCTGGCTGTAGTATCACCATCCACCTCCTTATATCCAGAAAAGCCTTGTGTTTTGGTGTCATTCTCTGTATTTCAGAATATATTCCTCACTCCCGGTGAAATGTATCACAGTTCACTCACCTGCAGGTTGCCGGCACCTGCTCGCTGCATGGCGTGGATCGTCTCCTCCACTCGGCTGCGCTCCCTCATCAGCACTGAGCACTTGGCCAACTCCGGGATCTGAGCAAAAGAAGAGTTTAGTCTTATTATATAGTATGTATATCCTGACACAGTCCCACGGAAAAGGAAGAGAGCAGATGTTTTTCTTTAATGTGTGCACATAAATTCACTGAAAACCCAGCACGCATGCACAAACCAGAATTATGTTTACTTGGCTATGTAAAGTTTCTGAAATTAAACTTTTATTCAAGTGGGCTTCCTCACCTCGGTCTTGGTCAGCTGGTGCCAGATTGCAAGGACAGTCCGCACTGGTGTGTAGATCCAGGGAATATAATATACCTGCATGTAAAGCCAAAGGGAAAACACATTTAGGTAATGCTTTCTTTCACAGGTCTCTCTTTTTTTTCCCTCCTGGACAAACACTGATAATCTGACACTAAACTAAAGCAGTGTGCAATTGGTACAGTCCCACTAAATTAATTCCTAGTGTGACCCAGAGGAGTCTTTTAGTCAGGCTAGATGGACATAGAAATGTGACATTTGTTCACAGGCAAGCATATAATTCAATATATATGGAGAATAAGGTTTCCAATGGTGAAAGTAAAAAAAAGAACTAACATATTTTACCTATAATTTATTACAATTTACATATTATACACTTGTTTTCCAACATAAACACCTTTAATGAGGCCTATTTTACTGGCATTAAACCACAGTGCTATTTACAGTTACTATGTTAAGTTAACGTTAATAACAAACTGACACTGCTCCAACTCTCTACTTACATAAAAGTAGTCTATATTTGAATGAAAGCTCATCGTATTTCATTGTTTTTCCATCTAAAAGTCTTAAAATAGTTTAACTTTAACAACCTGTTTGGCTTAATTAACCGTTAACCGTTAACCGTTGGCCGTTACAACTTACCATTTTCAAACGGAGAATCTGACGCGTCAGCGACGTGTCAACGGCTATTCGTTTCAACAACCGTTAAAAGTACATAATGCTAAAAGACAAACTGTGACTTATACATCTAAAAATATAAACAAATTAAACAATAATGTAACTATTTACAGTAGACTAGGGGTTTGAATGATTTGTTTACATTATTTTTGTTTCACTCGCAGCATTCCCCCACTTAAACGTGATAAACATAAAGGTTCCGGCGCACTTTAGTTCCTACTTCACTGAGGACAGTTTCACTGTGGCACCATTGACCACTGACGGCACATACTGCATTAAATTTATACATTTAAATTATTGATTAAATTAAATACAAAAATATTTATTTTGCATCGATTTAAATAAATGTTTAATGAAATAAAACATTTAAAATATTGAATTAAATTATAAATTACACAAACACATTCAAGTAATTTAGCATTTTACACACACAGAGACATATATAACAGTCGCAATCAATACATGTTTAGTGGCTCTTTGTATCTCTAACCCTCTACAGGTGTATTGTGAGACATTTCATATTTGAAAATGAAAGGATAAAAAGATATCTTTAGAGATGACGACAAACTTATGATGGTTTGATTGTTTATTGCACATGTCTGTACACTTGCAGCTCTTGCACATACAAATGAAATGACACAATATGTAACACAGTGCATGTGGTTGCATGAAATCTGTACATATGGTACTGGAAAAATCACCATCTCCAGTGTTCAAAGTGGACAAAAAACCTGAATTTCAAACTCAGCCTCAAATCTGATATTGATATACCACAGCTAATCACTAAAATATGGATATGTCTGCTCTATTGCATTTTGCAGTAATCCTGTGGTTGTGTGTCTTGAAACTAATTCTTGAAAATTCAAAAACTCCACATAAAACGGATCAAATGAATTTGATTAATCAATTAATACTGTCCACAATATGTACAGTGGAAACGTGGCAGGCTCAGAAATCTTAATTCGATCATATTTATAAACAGCTTGGCTGGGGATATCACAGGCATTAAATATTAACAGGGAGCTCAGTAACTGGTCCACACAACACTGTACAATGTTCAAGTTAACATTCAAGGTCCTTTAGTGCAGGAAATACAATTATTTCAACTGTATTAAGGGGCAGTTAGGATTTTTTGGCACAACTGGGGACATTTAGCCTCCTGGTTTAATGTGTTTTCATAGTCTTTCCACAGTGGAGTGTGCACATGTGAACATGAGCTCTAATTCACAGAGATAAAGAAAGAGGCAACACAAATTCTGCCAGAAGCACAAAGGCAGAACAAACCAAACAAGTCCACTAAAACCCAACAAACCAAATCTATAAAAGAAATAGAGCTTTTTTTGTGACCGTCAAAAATGACTCCTGGTATTTGGTCCTTCAAGCTATGCAACAAACTGGGAAATCAAATTAAATAAAAGAAATAGGACATTACTGGAATGGCAAAAAAGGTACTATACAATCTGTAAAAACTGTTTTAGTGCACATATTTTAGTGTATTAAGCAGGCTGAACACCCTGTTCCCCAATATGTGCTTTACTCAATACCTTTCTTGCTCCCAAAATTATGATAAACGATTGTCTACTTCAAGTAGGGCACACACCACACACACACTATATACGATCAACAATCCCTACAGTGCAAAAAAGGCAAAACCAAGATGGAAATAGGAGGTAGAAGAGAAATTATAGTAGAGAGGAGTAAAAAGTTGAAGCTGACTTTTTATCCCCACACCGACAGTTTGTCGTTTTCTTACATCACAATTAATGTAGACATCATTTACTTTGCTAAGTTTACATCTTGACACTTCAACCAACTCAACAATTTCACAGAAAAGTGTCACTGAACTGTCATTGTTTTATTTATCATCATTTACAGTAGTTGCTAAACGGTCCAGTGAGTAATAGGTAGGAGCATATATTAGCAGAAATGGAATGTAAGACCCATAACTATATTTTTATTAGTGTATAATCACCTGAAAACGAAAATTGTGATTTGGTTACCTTAGAATAAGCCGCTTCTATCTACAGAGGGAGCGCGTCTTCTCCATGGAGGAAGCCATGTTGAACCAACATGTTTCTACAGTAACCCCGAACGGACAAACCAATCACTGTCTCTAAATAGGACTTTTTGCAAGTTTTGCAGTCATCATACTTACTCCGACACGCTTAAAAGCCTGAGTTGTATTCAAATGGGTGCAATCTGCAACTTCACCACTAGATGCCACTGAATCCTAACACTAGTCTCTTAACCCGGACCACATAAAAGCTGAGCTTTTTTTCTGCTAAGCAATGAAATCATCAATCTTTTCTGAAAATGCCACAGCAATCACAGTATCATTTACTAGCAGAATAAAAGTAAGGCATAAGATAAGGCCAAAATGAAGACTGATAAAAAGTAGCCTGTCTAAATCTTAGTTTTTTCAACAACATTGTAATCTTTAATCTTTTTTGAAGCAGCCCCATGCAGACATTTCCCCTCAATAAAAGCAAAACACAAGATAAAATTGTGGTTGAAAACAAGGCAATTATCAGCAGATTAAGTGCAGGAAGTCACATCCGTGCAGCTTTCCATCTCAACATTCAATCTGAGACTGCAGCTGTCTGCGCAGAGTGAGGGTGCGGCGATGGAGCTGCTGCATCTGTTGCATGCGGTCTCGCTGGCGAGCCAGGTTCTGGGGCATGGGGTAGTGCTGGCAGCCATAAAGATACTGGTACGGGATGCGAACGTGGCAGGCTGCAGCTCGGCAGCGTGGCTGAGGTAACGGCGGCAGCAGCATCCAGCGCTTCCTCTCAGCACAGTAACGGTAGGCTTCCTTGCGATACTGCTTGTCCATGTTGTTGCTGTTCCTCCACCCGCCGATGATGAAGATGTCGTCACCCAGGTAGCAAATTGCAGCACCCTCCATGCCGAGGACCTCCGGAGGAAGGCTGTCGAGGATGTCGTCAGAGATGTTTCTGCTTATTTTCTGCTGAGCGGCTTCAACCGTTACCTTGTAGCTCTTGGAGCAACAGGAAGCAGTGTGGTAGAAGTTGGTGGTTGCAACAGCCATTTGAAAACTACAGTAATTATCGATGAGCGGTAGGGAGTCCACTTCCTGCCACTTGTGACTCTCTGTGTCATAGCAAGTGGTCATAGTGCTCAGTCCATCATCACTGTCCATGTCTACAGGGGTCCTGGCCATCACGTACACGTAGCGGTCGTCCACGCTCAGTGTTTTTACATCTCGTAGTATCTTTGGTGCTGGCTCGAGATTTTGCCACCGGTCCTGCTCAGGCTCGTAGACAGTAACATCCTTAAAGCCTGGACTGAAGTTGCCATGGCCACCAATGCTGTAGAGAATGTCTTTGACGCAAGTGAGGCCGAAGGAGTGCTTGCGGGTGGTCAGGCTGTTGACCTGCTCCCATGTGTTGAGGTTGGGGTTGAAGCGCTCCACCGTCTTGGCGAAGCCCGGCTCCATGGAGCCCGCTACATAAACATGGCTGTCGGTGACTGCGATGGCATGTCCGTCAAGGTGGTTGTGAATGTGTGGCAGGTTGACCCAACGGTCCTCAGCAACAAAGTAGCCCACACACTCACTCAAATAGTCTCCACCTTCTGAAACACCACCCACTACCAAGATTACATCCATGTTCTGGCCAAATCGTGGCTGGAGTGCTGCCATGTAGGAGGCACCAGGCTCTAAATCAGATGACTTGAGGCTCTCGAGACGAACAGCGTGGACCTCAAGAGCGTCAGACACCAGCTGCTGACAAGTTGCATTGTTTGCCACTAAGAGCTCCTTTCTCACCACCCGTGTCAGGTATGTAGGAGCAATCTGAGGCAGCCTTAAAAGCTTGAACAGCTCCTCAAAATGCTTCTCTCGTTCCTCTGTGCTTTGGTGCACCCATTTTACGATGGCCTCGAACAACTCCTGTTCCGAATCCACGGTGATTTCCGAGTCTGACAGCCAGTCCCGCAGCAGGTGAAATGGCAGCGTGTTGAACTCCTCGCTGCGGATAATTTTGTGGAAGTTTCTTCTAATCATCTCAGCGGCTCCCTTGGCCAGCTGGTCCAGGGTGTACATGTGGGCGAGGCTGTGCACTGCTACACAGTTGGACAAGCTCACCTTCTTCATCAGAAACTCTGCACAGAAATTCTTCAGCTGCGTCAACAGGAACCTGTGTGAACATGTCATAATTATGAGATTATCCATGTAGAAAAGTGGAGTTTGGACATGTAGTGATGCCTGTCAGTTAGTGCAGTACTAAGTATAACTTCTCATGTATTATAACTGTATGCAAAGACTCCAGCAGGTGAGTTCAGTGATTAGTAAACCTTCAGACAGGATGAATTGAGCAGATTGGTGGATGGAACAAAAGCAATTTAAAGTAAAATGTTATATAATAAACTGTGTAGAAACAGGCAAACCAAGACACTGTCGGCTAGAAAACCTTTTATTTAGTAATCTTTTTAATTACCACGCTTAACTACCTTGAATACAAGTCTGTAGCTGTTTTTACTTGGATTGCCAAGAATATCTTGTTTCTTCAGTGCTTATTAAACCCTACTTATTAAACAGCACATAGGTTTGGGTCACTATGTGGCAGTTTCTCATAGGAAAGTGCCAATCTGCAGCTCAGTATCGGTATCCATTCAGTGTTGCCTCCAATGTGGGAGAAAAAAAAACTAATAATCCGATACATGATTAGTCTAAACTATTACATAAAAACTCCACTAAAGTTTGGGCTATGAATGTCTTCCTTCATGGGAGTAAAATATTTATTTCACAGTCTGTATCAGACATGAAAGAGTAGCATCGAGCCATCCCTAGATTTTTATAGGTCACCTAAAACTGCTGCTTAAAAATCTCATTAAAAACTATAGTATTATCAAATTGTGTTGATGTTGTAATCCTTGATATATAATAAGGATCTATGAATCATTTATAATAGGCCTTTTCCTATTAGACATTTTAATTTAGCTGACTTCATTTATTACTCTGGCTGATTAGCCTAGGTTGAAGATGAGTATAAATATAATGGGAATCAAATGAGGTTGCAAACAAACAACAAACAAAATGCATAATATCTATTCCCGACAGACTCCCTCTGCCTATGTAATAGTTCATAATTGAGACGATAACTCAATTAATCCATTAGCCAAGACAGAAAATAAATGAATCAATTAATTTGTTAATAAACAATACCACAACATCCCCTAGTCTCTACTGTGAATGTTGAAAACAAGCTATTTAAATTTGGCTTTTTGGGAAATTGTAACAGGCATTTTCTTTTTGCCATTTCTTTTTATGGATTAATGTACAATACACATACTATAGGTAAACACCTGGGCCATCATTTATCCCAAAATATATCGCTTTGGCTAATAATTTGGCTCATCTTCCTGCCTAATGCAGTTTATTGACTGTTCTTATAATAAAAACATGCAGACTTAAAACAACTATAACAACCATGTAGTGCCAAGTTCCACAGGTGTGTGAACTCCAAACAAGTCACACTTTGTGGTATAATGAGGACGCAGACAAGGTGTGGCTAATTCAGTCCCTCGGAAGCCTGTAGGACAACTATCTAACACTTCCGTGTATGAGCAAGTGGGGAGTTATTATTCTGATTAAATGTGAAAAAATAAATAAATAAATTAATAGATAAAATAAATACCTGTCAGCAAGTTCCAACACCTCATGCACACTGGCAGTGGTCACCCTGATCTCCCCTGTGTACATGAACTGAATGACACTCTCCACTGTTTCTGGGTCTGGTCCCGAGCTCCATTCTTTCAGGTCCACTCGCCCGGACACGGACTCTGAAAACTGCCCCCCCAGCAGCAGCGTGAAGTACTGCGACGCCGCGGATAACACGGAGCGGTGGGCGGATAAGGTCTGGACCCTCTCCTCTTCCTCAGACACCCCGCCGGAGCTGAAGACCAGCGTCACGTCGCAGAACAGCCCCGCCTTCCTCTGCTGGTTCTGCCGCCGGGAGAGCTCCGAGCAGTAGGCCGAGCAGGTGAACTCCTCGGCCTCCTCAGGTTCCCCGTCACCTGTTCGAGCCCCCGGTGCGCCGCCGCTCCGGCTCCAGTCCTCCGGCCCTTCTGCTGCCGCCGCTGCCATGTCGCAGCGGGACAGACTCGGAGGCGAATGAAAGCGCTGAACTATCTTGGGCAATAACTCATAGGCATATATAACACACGCAAACAGACATTCAAACACTGACATGCATGCGCAGCGTTCACGGCCGAGCTCTGGAAACAGGAGTGCTCACTTCCGTCTTTATTCCAAACCTACTCATTTTTATTATTTATTTATTTATTTTGCTGGACTGGGAGGCTCTCAGATTCAAGCTCATATCCATGTCCACACAATAAAAACATACACAGAAAAGTCCGAGATGTTAACGGGTTTTTGAGGTCGTTATAACGCATTTACGCGTCCTTATTTTAGTGAAATTTAACTTTGTTTTAAGGGATGCACCGTTGCCGCGCATGCGCGTTGGTGTGCTCTTGGGTTGTTGCGTCCCATGATTAGACCAACATCAGCTGTGATAACTTACAGCATAAATCATACATTCAGCAATGAGTCATATCCAGTGCCTGTTTTTAATTATAGTAGTTTTATATTGAACAGACTAACAACGGGTTAATGTGGAGGAAACACGAGTAAGTTGTTAAGTTAGTCTTTGCCCTTGTGTTGAATTTGGGTGCAACAAAAAAATAAATCTCTGTGGAGGAGAAGCACAGTAGACTGTTTTAATGGATTAAAATGTTTGGGTTTTATTCATTTTCATATTGACTTTAGTCTGAATTCAATGTCCCTTAGAAGTCTGTTCCCACAGTTAGTATTTGTAGTTATTGTAGCATAGTTAGTAATACATGGATAAGATGTAAAACTGTAATATACTAAACCTAATTTGAGTCATACCAGAGTAAGCCATTTACAATACAATATTTACCATTATTCTTTATTTCTTTAAAGCTTTCTAAAGTGCGTATGCATGTCTCCATCTTTGAAATCAGTGTGAACTAACCTCTCATAACATTTTTAATAAAGAATAATTCCTTTAAAACTTTATGTTGATTGAAAGAGAGGTTGCAGATATCTTACATCACAGAATCACTTCTTCAACTACAACAAATACTTGACATTAAACACTTGAGCCAAAATTAAAAGTAAAACAAGAAGTTCTTTATTATTATTATTATTATTATACCATTATATGACAGCATATTACAAAAAACAAAGCTTTTTTTCACAGTTAAATTAAAACAGCAAAACAAAGATCAAACACAGCAGGCCGTACAGTGGGCGGTTACTAAGTGTTTTGAGTGTCAAGTCTTAAGTGAAAGTTGGAAATCATTTCTCAGAGCCAACATCCGTATTATGTGCAATGACTTTTTCCAAGTAAAGCAAACTTGCTTTCATGGTCCCTCGCCAAAAGATGCTTTCAAAGACTCACAGGGCTCATTCATGAAGCATTTTGTTTGTCCCCTTTTGATGCTTCTACATTTTCCTGTTTTCTGACAGTTATTCAGAATAGCAACACAAGTAGTTCAATTCATACTTGATGTGAAAGACTTGAACACCTCAAAACTGTACCTAAATTTACAGTAGCTGATGACTTTCAACCACTAGTTTAGAACCAGGGTTGGTCTAGGAAAGGCAATGGTGGAACGACACTTACTACATCATCTGTTTAATTTCTTTTTCCCATTATGATGCCTCCTTTCCAAAAACATAAGATCTGGATAAGCTCTGTTATATCAACCACCGGACCCTTAAAAAAAAAAATTTCTTTTGACAAAGACAAAAAGGAAAATCCTAAAAATAACTTTGGTTTCTCTTGTGGTGACAAAAAAACAAAAATCTTTCTTAGTGGGAGTGAAACTTGGACAAGGAATTTAAAACAGATATTACATCTAGTGTTTATAACTAAGGTGCAATACTCAGAAAGCCAGAAAGCATACTTAAACACACTTCCTTGTGGCCTAAAACAGGCAAATGCTGATTAAATGAATCAATTTCTGTTCATCATTGTGAGTCGTATAAAAAAAAAAAACATATTACTGAACAAATTACTGTAGATTAAACTAATCAGACTGGCGTAACGCAGGAGTCAGGATTGAAATGTGCTTTGAATCCTGCCGCCGTACCAACTACGCAAAACAGGTTTTATTTGCTATTTTTAAGTACCAACTAATTTTGTGCTCCTGCAACTGCTGCAGCTTGCATTGGTTTGGCTGTAAAAACGGAATAAGTTACATCTCTTACTAATAGTTTGCCGAAAAACAAATTCTGAAAAAATACTTCCCCTTTTTTCTCCGTAGAAACTAGAGCGCAAAAGTTCTACCCAGACCCCTCAGTCTAACAGTGCTGCTACTTTCCAGAATCATCCTGCCCTGTTTTCCCAAGGCAGCTGTTGTCATAACCGGAGAGTACATATATACGTTAAGTGTGATGTGTAATGCTGCCTGACCCGTTAGGGCAGTCACATCTGGAAGTGCGTCCCATTCTGTGTTGTGGGGACTACATGGACATATGTTCAGGGAGCACGTAGGAGATGTCATCCCAGGGGTGGCGGTACAAACCCTGTTTCAGCCTCTTCTGGTCCAGGTAATGTCCTAATGTAAGACAGACACAAGTTAGACGTCTTGTTCTAATACTTTTAAAGTTAGTGTTGTGGCTGTGTCTGAACGGGTCTCACCAATAAAGCCCATACTACGTCCAAGGACAAAGATCCCATTTAGTGCACCGATCTCCACAAACTCGTCAGCTTCGTCTCTGGAACCAGTTCAACATTCATGTGAGAAACAATACTGGATATTGTGCCATCAACACAGAAAGCAACAATACAGACAATGGACTTTTGGCATGATCTGATCTATGAAGAATACCTTTTGTTAACACTTTAATAAATGGCAAATTGACCAGATGACATTACAATGGGAAATTTCTTAAAGAATAAACCAAAAAAGCTAATAATGATCTTTTTCATAATTACTAAAAATAATGGATCCCTTTAAAGCACAAAAAACTATCTTAATGCAATGACACTTGCACCTCACCAGTCCCTACGAGGTATAGCAGTTTTCTTACCGTGTAAAGCCTCCACACGTCCTAAGCAGGTCCACAAAGGCAACACCAATAAAACCATCTACATTGAGGATCAGGTTGGGTTTCTGACAAGAAAGATAAATCAGTTAATCTAAATCTAAAGAGGAATATCAGTAAGTCAGCCAACCTCTGCTGACTGACCATTTGATTTTCTAAGGGCCTTCACATATTTTGCTTCACTTTTGTCAATTCAGCTGACAAGTACCTTGGAAGTGGTGATCTTCTCTACATCTAGGGCATAGTCAAGTAGCTGGGTTGAAGGAAAATGCTGCTTAACAAAGTCCTTCAGAATCTGCACCCGCATGTCTGGATTGTTGATCTGAAAACAGAGGCAAACTGTGTTTTACTTTTATGGCTTTGTGTCTTGTCTCAATGAATTCACCTAATAGAAATCAGAAGAATCTCTTAACTGAAACTGTAAGGTATTTTAATTATAATCTAAAGAAGAATTATTCAGACAATATAATCTTAGCAGTGTTGTATTATAATCTAAAAATGCCACATTGTTTAGGGATCTTGATAATTAAACTTGAAGTAGTGTGAAAAAGCCACATACTGATTTGACTCTGTGGCCGATGCCCATTATGAGCTTGCCATCCTTCTTCATCTTGTTGACAAACTCCATGGGCAGCATGCCACTGTCGAATGCCTTGCTGAACTGCTTTGCAGCTGCATCCAGAGCACCTCCAAAGCGATCTCCCTGGTATTTATGAATAAATCAGGTTTCAGTGCAAAACAAATGTAAAAGACAAGTGTTCATTATTTCCTAAATCAAAGATGGTAGCACATTGTGTGAGCAGTACTGACAATGGTGAGCAGGCCAGAGGTGAGGCTTGAAATAAGATCCTTGCCAGCACGAGCACAGACAATGGTGTTGTGTGCACCAGAGACGGCAGGCCCGTGATCAGCAGTCACCATCAGGCACATCTCAATGAACTGGCAGGCATAGCGCGGCAACCTAGACAGAAACACAGCCTGGCTCATTTAACTGAAAATATAATTGTAAAAATGTGAATCAGCCAACAGTAACTGATTACCACCAGTTGCAGTTCAGTTGTCATACCAACCTGCGTTGGAACCAAAGCAAGCCAAGCACTCCTCCTAAACCCATCTCCTCCTTAAAGACCTCAGTGATGGGCATGCCAGCGTAGATGAGCTCCTGGCCTCTCTCATCACAGATGCTCGTCATGAATGAGGCTGGCTTACGGATCAGGCCCAACTCCTGGAGGAAATCCAGTGGAGAGTAAAACAAATATTAGACGTGTTCTAACAAAAAGAGTGAAAATGTTTGTACAGTGTGAAGCAAAGATCAGTATCGGTGTATATGTCAGTTGATAAATGACAGCAAACAGCAGTTCAGAAATGTCACGGATAGGTGTTATACCATTTTATAGCGTGTCCAATAATGAGTTCTAAATTGTAACTACCAGACTGAATCATATATTTTCCAGTTGCTAAGACAGATGCTGTGAAAAATTAAATAAACTTTCGAGTTTATAAGGGAGTAATGATGAAGGTCCTTACCCTGGCCCAAGAGTAATCCATAGGTACTGTTGGGGGAGGCACCTCCTGAGCAGGAATGATGGTACCATTGGCCACCAGTTCATCATAAACAGTCCTGTTTAATCATATATAAACAACAATCAGTGAAAACCCCTGAAAAAATAAATCAGTGACAAACTCTGGTATGACCATGTGACGAAATTCTCACTTGATGACATCGCCCAGCTCATCAAAGCTTTTTGGTACGTAAGCTCCAGCGTCCCTCAGAGCCTGGTTTTTGGCTACTGCTGTCTCTGAGGCCTGGTTGGCACAAGCCCCTGCATGGCCAAACTGAACCTGAAGATGACAAAATTACAGGTTGAGCTGAAATATTCTGACTTCCCAGGTGACAACAACAACAACAACAAAATCCAAAGCAAGTTATTTCGATAAAGCCACCGGACCTCTGAAGTGAACATGGTGGCGCAGGTTCCAATACACCAGCACACCACGGGCTTGGTTATCCTGCCCTCTCTGATGCCTTGGCAGATCTTGTACTCCTCTGTGCCTCCAATCTGGGTGAAAGAGTTGATAATTAATTCCATTAAATACATATAAATTCACATGGAACAATGCCTCAAATTAAAGTAGCAACCAACGTATTATGTTAATGTTAATCTGTATATCAATATATCATTCAGAGCTACTCCCACCTCTCCCAGCACCACTATCATCTGGATCCCTGGAGTGTCCTGGTAACGAAGGACATGGTCCATAAAGGTGGAGCCTGGATATCTGGACAAAAAGGACCAAAACACAAGGACTTAAAAAGTCTTAAAACAATTTATTTTTGTGGAGCAAAATGAACCAAAAAAAATATATAAAAAATATCAAATAGCAAATAATTAGCAAATCATTTTGCGTACCTGTCTCCTCCAATGGCCACACCTTCATAGACGCCATCTGTGGTGCGGGAGATGATGTTGTTCAGCTCGTTGGACATGCCCCCAGAGCGCGACACATATGCCACGCTGCCGGGACGATAAAGTTTAGAAGCCAGAATGTTGTCCAGCATGCCACCTGTGTTGCCGATCTTAAAACAGCCCGGCTTGATGCCTCCAACCTGCAAGACAGAAAACAAGGGGTGTCAAATTAACTTATGTGCCATTTGAAATGACCACTACATTCACAGTGAGTGTACTGCAGTACTTGAAGTACTGTTGGTGTAATACGGCTGTATACCGTTGCGGGGCCGATGATAGTGACGCCTTTTTCATCAGCCATCTTGATCATCTTTCTTGTCTGAGCTTCAGGGATGCCCTCAGCTATGATGGCGATAGTGTGGATCTGAAAACACAATTAATTAAGAGAGCACTTACATGTCTGGCTGAATATCACATGTTTATGCAGTAAAGCACATGATAATATGTAAATGTGATTACACAGCGTCACATTTCTACCTGTGGGTACTGCATGGCCTCCACTGTGCTGTCGAAGGCTGAGCGCAGTGAAGCAAAGCTGATCAGGACGTCCACCTCAGGGTGCTTCTTCATGGCATCGGCCATGTTCTTATAGACCGGCAGCAGGATCTCTTTGTGTCCCCAGTAGAATTTCTGCTTGTGATCCCCACTGCGCAACACAGAATATAAGGTTGAAGAATATAAATATAAATACATTTTTTTAACTACACTGGAGCAGTTGGGAAGGTACTGTTGCCACTGATATTACATTATTCCCAGCAAAATTATTACTTTCTTCAAGAATATATTAGTTGCCCGATATCATTGGCCGCCACTGGCCTATCACAGACATATATACGGAGCCCCTAAAGGGACATGGGGAAAAAAAAGAAAAGTATCTAGTGCGCACTAGATTTGAAGCCATGTGTTGATAGGTCACCATACGAAAATGCAACCAATGAAATTACTTATTTTGACACACATTTTAAGCCAATAAGTATTAATCTAACAAGGTAGTGTGTCAAAAGGCGGACCGTTTTTGTTATTTTCTCAAAAGGAGGACAAATGAGTGTCCGGGCATTTAAATGCGGACTGTAACAAAAAAGGTTACAGATTATTTTACATTTATTTATTAGTTTAATACTCACTTGAATATTAAAATTAGCCATGTGTTAATTCACCACAACACAGATCGTATCTAGTGCTCACAAGAAAGTATCTAGTGCGCACAAGATAGTACTAGATAGTGATCTAGTGCGCACAAGATAGTACTAGATAGTGATCTAGTGCGCACAAGACAGTACTAGATAGTGATCTAGTGCGCACAAGACAGTGATCTAGTGCGCACAAGACAGTACTAGATAGTATCTAGTGCGCACTAGAAACTATCCCCCCCATGTCCCTTTAGGGGCTCCGTACATCCGTACATACACGTTATGCAATATGCTCTTTTTTTCCCTGGTGTATAATGCAGACAAAATGCTCATGGTAATATGTTGGTGTCACTGCAAAGTTTATCCAGCAGAGTGCGCTGCAGTTTACAAAAAGCGGCACAGAGCAAGAGAGAAGCAGCAGCAGCTAGAACTGATTTACAATGTACATGTTAAATTATTTAGGTATTCTTTAATAAAGTTGATTGTTTATGTAAAAGGTACTTAGAAGTCATAATGGTGCAAAATCAGTGCACAACCCACATAGAAAAGTAGCAGTAAATAGTCAATTTCATTCCAGCTCAGAAATTCACTACTACACTTCTGAGAATTGTTATCGGCCTCAAAAAACCAATATCGGTCAGACTCTGCTTACTTGAGAACATTTAGGTTTGTTTTCCTAATAAAAGTAAGACAGTTGAGCAGAGTACAGTTTTAGAACCGGAAATGAGGCAATATATAATATAATATAATATTATATAATAGAGATAGAGATGTCTTTAGTCAGTGGAGTATCAAGTTTGTCCTTTATCTTGGGAAACCTACGTGAAGGGGTACACCATGGCTGCCACAGAGGGTCCGTCCCGGGAGCATACATAGTCGAAGTCCAGCATGCCTTGCACGGCACGTGTCTGCATGCCCCAGACCATGGCTTTGGTCTGCTTTCTGAAGAGTGTGGTGGCTTTGGCTGAAGGAACAACAAGGCAGAGAGAGAAGAAGTCAGAGCTGGGACAAAAAAAACATATACACCACAGGCCGGGGGGGGGTCAGGAAAACAGCAGGAATGGGGATGGTAACAAGCAGACTACAGAGAGAACTCACTCTGAGGACAGAGATACAGGAGGTAGAGAAAATAAGTCCTGAAGATCAAAAACTTTGTAGTTACCCAATCACCACAGCAAACACTACCACAAAAGGAAGGTCATGTTTCTCTTCAAGAAAAAATGACAACATACTCCTAAGGCACACTGCACCAACACACTTCCCCCCTTGACATACTGACTAAGGTTTTCACAGATGTATTGTTCAGCCACCACACATCCGTTTTTAACTTAGACAAATGCTGCTGTTGCATCAAACCTGATTTAACTCATGTTTGTGTAATCAAGTTACTCCAAGAGTCTGTTATTTTGTCCACCTCCATATCAAAAAGATTAATTTGGGGTCTCACAATGTTAAAATGAAAATGGAGAAGATTTTGAATTAAGTTGGAAGATTGTTTGAAGTTAGATTCAAAAAAATCTTCACATGCTACTAAAAACGTAAGTTCTGCACAAGGCCTATGCAGTTTGTCTCAGATAGAGACCTGACAACTTGTTTTGACCATAAAGGAACTAATTTGCCAATGTATTCTTAAAATTTTTTCAGACCAAATTTATTTTTTTTGGTTTTACTTCCATTGTTTCTGAATGAAAACAGGTTTTCAAGATTTTTTTTTTTTACTGTAAGTTTGTAAAAGCTGCTGTGTGCTCTTAAGAGACATTACCCCACTTGCCCTTTACTAAGCGAGAACACCACGTAAGCTTGTCTAAGGTATGCTGTGTGATTACAGCTGTCTACTAGTAATTTAATTAATACATTTCAAGGCGAGTCCCAGATACCACAGCAACCCAGCAATAGTGCAAGAAAAAAGTGTCTGTCCAGACTGAGCTGAAGCATAGTAAAAACTCTGCAACAGATCATTTGAAGGCAGAATGTCAGTTACTTTAAAATGGGGTTTGAAGCATTTGCTGTTAAGTTAATCACCATCTTGCCACACACATTTGTTCTATTCCTCCCATGTCTCTTCTTTGTCCAGGCTCACTGCCTTCTGTTGATCTGATCCAAAGAAAGCTATCAAGTGTCCAGCACTATCACTGCCTCTTTAACTGAGGGCTGTAGAGTGACAAGTAAATATTTTACAGGGTTTCTGCAGGTTTCACCATGTTACATTTAAGAGATTAACACACAGAATGCAATTTAATACCTGTGTGAAGAAAAACCAACAGGGATGAGATTGCCTAGAATTATTTATTATTATTTTATCAAATTTGTGCACCAGTGTGTAACATTAATTCCCACAGATATAATGCGACCTGGACTTGGATGTTAAATGATTAATTAATAGTGACAGTGTTTGCTACAGGTCTGATGGTGCTGATGAAGCTCCACAAAAATGACTGAAAAACAATCCCAGTTTTAGTTAATGGGCTTACAGTTTCACGACCCAACGCCCACACTCAGATACAAAGAAAACATAATATTACTGCCTACAGCAGGCAAAAAACTGAATTAAGTACTTCTTAAAACATTTGAAGACCTGCAGATACCCTGGTTTTAGAATGAAGTTGGTCTTGAAGGGAAAACACAAACGTTGAAATGATGAATTTCTTTCGGGTTTGGTGGGTCATGGTTTAATATTAAAGAAACGTCTGCCATGGTTGTCATACCAGAGAAATTCCAGATCATTCAACAATGTCAATTTGGATGTAAATGCTTGATCCACATATTTAAGTTCAGAGATGTAAAACAGCAGCTCTTAAGATGAGTAAGCCACCATAAGAACGCGAAAAAGAAGGACAGACTGGGAAGGCAAAATGGGAAGGCGGGGGAAGTGAACAGAGAGCGGAGAGGGCAGGAAGACGGGTTTTTTTGACACCCTTCCATACCTCCGCTGCAGCCTGAAGAGGCTTGCGCTTCTGTGACCCCACGGGACGGGAACACAAAATACGACAAAATGAGCACAAAAAAAAAGAGAAAAGAATGAGTGCATCTTCAGCTTATTCATCAAACAGACTTCAGTGTATTCGGAAAAACTGTGTGTTGTCTCTGAAAACACTCCTTAAATAGCACGCCAGAGGAAAGACCATGCAAAGCTAAGCCGCTACAGAGCATGCCTTTACTGTGCTGGTGTGAAAAGCCATCTCAGAAGTATAATCTAGCCACAATTGTAATCTTATTTCAACATAACCTGTACTGAACATTTGACTTCTAACACAAGAAGTGTGGGGTACACAACACACAACTCAGTCTTAAGACAAATCTCTTCCAAGGATCTTTGTTTTTATGAGTCTTTGTGAATTATCTACACTTTTCTACAGCTTTTATGTATTCCAAAGGATGACTTATTCTAAAAATTATACAAAAATGTATTGCTGAAGAATATACTAGTGAACTACTGGAAATGCAAACATGTATGTGTCACACACAGAAACACTCCTTTCTACCAAGATGAGGAGGGTGAGGGCTAAGAAGAAAAGGGGGCAAACCAGTAGTGTGTAGGCAGCCGAACGCAGTGTAGACATGGCACACCTATCACTTACCTTTCCAATCGCCTGTGACCACATTCTTCAGAGGCCACAGTATAGAATGAAGACAGTCTTAGAGAAACAAGCATGAAAGAAGATGAAAGTGAGTGGACAAGGTTTGTGCAGCAAAACAAGAGGAGGAGGAGGGAGAAATAGAAAGAAAATTAAAATGCAGAATCGCAGTGAAGGCATTTGCAGGGAGGAAGAGAGAAATTCAGGACGCAAGGATAAAAGAAATGAAAAAGCAGAAGTGTATGAGTACATATGGAGTCTTGCTGATAAGAAGCTGTGGAGAGGTGAGCGCGTCTGCGTTAGTTACCTGCTGGAAGACCTGCTTTAGACTTTTTGGCTGGGGTGACATCATTAGAAGTCCTTGGTTCAGAGAAAGAAGCTGTCCTTGTTGTAGCTGGAGTCTGGTACAGAAAGTTGACATTAAGGTTATTCAAAGCTTTACAGAAGCTTCCAAGGAGAAACAATTTCCCATCATCAATTATTTAGGAAATTGTGATATATGACCTTTGATGACCACAGCTAACACATAAAGAGGCTGAGGAGCACATTGACTACATGAAAAGAAAATCATGTAACAATATATAATAGACCTACTCACACCAGTTCCAAAGTCCAAAGTTTTCAAAACTCAAATAGCATTTGAACATGTAAATGAATGCCCTTCAGTGGATTTATATAAAGACACAATTTAAATGTCCATTTAACTCACTGGACAATTAGCACATGGAAATGTTGTGCCTTTCTTATACAACATCAATACACCTGCAGACCATTCTAATTTTCCCTCAGTGTGTTACTGAATGAAAATACCATTGCACTGTTGCTGGCATTGAGGAGGAAGTTGGCGGTATGTGCGTCCATCGGGGGCTGGTTAGGGATTGGCCGGTGGCCCAGAGCCATTCCTACAATGGCTGTCATATGGGTCTCTGTCCCAAACACATGGATAGGAATACCTGTGGTCTTCCCTACAGAAAGAAAAACAATTAAAAAAAAAAAAAAGTTTAACTGGCATCCATGGCTCTCTTATCACCTGTGCATGCATTCAAAAAACATAATTTCCTTCTTTTTGGCCTTGTGTAGTCCAATAACATAACTGAAAATTGCTCGACACCAAGCACTTCTAAATAACAAATTGCATACTACAGTCTACTAATTCCTTGTTCTCAGTCTTTCCCATGACCTTCATCCGACTTACCTACTTCCCCCATCACCCGGAGCCCCTCCTGGTAGTTGGGCCCACCACGTCGAACAAAGATGGTGACTTCATGCTCTTTCAGAGGACCTTGGTAGTCTTTGATGGCCCTGACAATGCCCTGAGGAGAGACACAGAGAGGTCAGCTCTGTGGATCGCAGACCCTAGATTCTTCCAATGCCTGCATAGGCGTGTCAGAAAGCAAGATGCAAAATATCATGTGCTTAAAAATGACATTTTATTACACTCTGTGTAATGTACGGACACGGACACACACACACGGACACACACACACACACACACGGACAGACACACACACACACACACGGACAGACACACACACACACACACGGACAGACACACACACACACACACACACACGGACACACACAGAGAGAGTCTACCAGGTGTACACTGGGTGTCTCAAGGAATGAAGATGCAGAAACTCTGCATCAGCCTCACCCAAGACTGATTACTTCAATAGCTTCAGAAAGAACTAAATATTATGTTGGAGTTAGTTTTTCTAAAATTATTTTTACACATTTCATTTAATCACTCTGTGAAGGCTTGTGATAACATTCAGAGCTGACAGTTTACTTTTCAAGGTGTTTCAGATAAAGACGTGTTTCACCTTGAACGTGGCTGCTACATTGGTGAAGTTGGCGATACTTCCTCCGATTATCAGCACTTTCCCTGCAGCAGACGAGAGGGGAGATATGTTAAGAACATGTTCATGACTGAAATTTGACACCCCAGTAACATAGTTTGGTACTCATGTTTGTACTGGTAACTCCCTCCACCCACTTTCACCTTTGGCCTACTTTTTTGGACCCCGTTTGGGAAAACACACCCTAATTAACAGTTGGCTGTGCTCACCTTGAGAATGTTTCTCCCGGGTCATAAGAGAGAGGATGGTTTTAGCGTAGTCGTAGGTCTGCTGTTCACTGGGTGCACCAGAGTACTCGCCATAGTTGGCCAATTCATCCACCCCTCCTAGGTCACAGATGGTATCGCTAAAGAAGACAGAAGATGGACTGTTAAGTACTGTGTCCTGATTCTAGTTGGTTAGTTGGTACAGGCAAAAACTTGCTTTGCATCAGTGACTGCGCCATGTGAGTCAAAGTGTAACAGACTTTTATATTTGAAGGCACAGAGCCAGGCAAGTAGCACGGAGATAGTCCACCTTTCATCCACCAAATCACTTTGAACAGCTTCTGTCAGCTAAAAAGGCTTCATATTAACCATTTTAAACAAATGGAGTACCTGTACACTACTGAAGCCCCTCCTCCAGCCACCATGGTCCAGATCCTGCCACGAGGGTTCAGCAGGGTCAGCTTCAGACTGGCACCACTCTTTGCATCCAGATCAGCTATGTATGCCTCCTACAATGAAAGAAAATGATATAGTGGCAAAACATTAGAGAATAGAGCTGAGATTCAAGATACTTGTGCACTTCAGTTGCTAACTAATGTCAGTGTAAGTACATGCAAGATTAAAGATGCCGTTTGAAAGCTTTGGCTGGGACTACATTTGGTATATTTGCTCTCAGACGCAAAAATAACAAATTTTTTAAATACCTGAAGATGAAATGACTGAATGTAACTGAAGGTGTGCCGATGCAAAAGAAAAAAGTAACTCCCCTAAAACACTAAAGTTGTAGATCTCCTACGATTAAACTGTGACCCAAAGACCCATTTACTTAAAAATGCTGCAGTATCATAACCCAATTGGTCATAATACACAAATCCTGCTTTATTGTCCTTCAGATCTTACCTCTGGATATGCTTCTCTGCCAAAGGGTGGTGGAAACTCAACATCACCCCATTTAGCCTTGCAGATGTAATCTGCTGTGGCATCAATCTTGGCTGCCATGTCGAGGACGTACACTCCATCTTGGGTGACGACTGGTTAAGAGAATAAAAGTTGTGTTATCTATTCATTTGATATTTTCATGTCTTACTCAAATAAAGATGAGGCAGAACACATCATTAATGTGCACCAATTAGTAACTTATTATAAATTAATAAGGAATCCTAATGCACAAATAAAGTGGTTATAGTAATAAATCAGCTCGTATCTTCCCAAACTTAATTACAGTGCATATTGCTTCTGAGAGTCCTACAATAAGAATGAATTAGATAGATATGCATGTAAAGAAAAACATACCAAGAGGGTTGATCTCAAGGTAGGTGAAGTAGAGGTCCTCATATAAGTTGAAGAGACCCACTATAAAACTGGCCAGGACTCTTAAAGAAGGAAACAAACAAAAAGCAGATTAAAAATCATCATACACTGCTATAAAACAACATAAAATAATACAAACAATTATCCTAAATGCTGCTGTTCAAACAGTGCAGCAATGACCAAGAGCAGAGCTTGTGAGAAACTAGTCCTAAACACAAACAATTGTAAATACATTCTCTAAACCCTGGGGATGGTATTTAGAAAAGGTGGTAATAATCCAACTAAAAACACATTGCTCAAGGTCACACAATAGCAAAAGGGCACAGGAACTATGCTGAAGAACAAACTGCAACAAATGGACAGCAGTATGTGGGAGAGTAACTAAATGTCAGGATTAAAACATGGCTGGTTATCACTGTATTGCATCTGTGGCAATAACTGGCTAAACACACAAAGGGGAGCACTTTCAAGTGTTGAATAAAGTTGAATCAGCAGAGTACTTGGTAGCAGCTCTGGATACAGAATAGCATGGAAAGTATCAACTCTCTGTGCAGTAAAAGTATCCCATTAACAAAGAGTTGTAATATATATCAAACTGGAATCCCATAATTGCTATAGTATCACATCACAAGGTGCCTTTTAATTCGTGTCCCCCACCTAAAGAATATAAAATGACCTCCTCGTTGGGTTTGATGATTCAGTGATTCAGATACTGTATACTTTTTTTCCATTAGAGAGACTCAGAACCAGTCTGTCTCATAAACTGTGATATCTATTGATGCTATACTATTGCATTTTAACATCCAGATACATTTTGTCTTATTTTCACTAAGTTTGTTTAACTGCTGTAGATCTAGTCGATAAAACTAAATAAATAAATGAATAAAAAAATGATGTGTCCGTACTCTTTCTTATCATCAGGAACCTGTGTGAGGAGCTGCTCTGTGACTTGGTCCTCACTCAGCTTTTCATCCACTGCAACCATCAGCCTCTGGGCCTTGGCGTCCACATCGCCCACCTCCACTCCTCCCTCATGGTGGAAGAGCACATGGTCGCCCTCCCGCGTGGCATAAATACACACGTAAAACTCCTCCTCCTGGGTGGACCAGCAGAGGTCAAACACAAGGATACACAAACATTTTCACATATTTAGTTTGCAAACAGCAGAGTGTGCATTCTCACTTATTTACAAAAGGCTGACAAGCTCTTTCAACAACAGACTTGAAGTTCCACAGTTCCCTGTTTCGACAGAACTGACCTTCCCAAAACTGAAGAAATCAACTAATCACATGCAAACTGACCTAAATACAGAACACACAAAATAACGTTTGTATTCTAGCCCCCATTGTCCTGCTGGGAGGGTTAATAAGTTGTTTCCTTGGCTAGTGACATTGTATTCGGTTTTCAAACATAAGGAACAGGATGTGGAATGACGAAACACAAGAAAATTATATACATTACCTGTGTGTGTGGAACAAAAGGCTCAATGAGGAAGTTCTTCAGCACACCCTTCGCCTTTCCCACCTATTTAAGATAAACAGTTCATGTCACAACCCACAAGCATGTTAGTCTAACCTAGTTATAGACTGTGAATGAATTTTACCCCCTACACTCCTTTCCTGTAGGTACATTTAAATAAAAAAGACTGTAAGTAGAAGTGGAGTCCTGGGTTTAATTTACAATGTTCTGTCATCTTTACACACCCAGTTTTGTTCATAGGAGTTATTATATGTGCATATACCATCATTTATTAAGGGGAAAGCACAGTATAATGGCTTAAGATGCTGCCCATCTAGCTGTGTAAATTTGTTTTTAACACTGCCTCACCCTAGCTGGATCTAATCGTGTATGTACAGTGGACCAGAATAGACCACCCTCCTCTACTGCATTACATAACCTCTGACCTGGCCAATCTAAACATAAGTCAATGGCCTCTGGCACTGGAAACAGGAACCTTCTACACATCAGGTCCATATGCTGGGACTAATGGACAAGGAACTGTAGCTAACATTCTCTTCAGATGTCGTGCAAAACACAATGTGGCAGTCATGTGATTTACTACATGGTTAACACTGTTATGCTGCATTAGCTTCATTTACGACCTAATTAGTCGGAATGAGAAGCAGGGACCATGTGGTAAATCTAGCTCTATCAAAGAATAAAAATAAAGTTATTGGTGAAATGGTAAACTGGAAAAGTAACCACTGAATATTTATCGGAGCAGATTCTGAGCAAATGAAATTATGTCATTTTTAATGTGGATCCATTAAAAGACTGGCTGTTCTTTGTCTGGACAACAAGACAGCTAAGTGACCAGTAAAGACTGCATTCAGACCTGCGTGAAAAAATGCAGTGCATTTAAATGGCATCACTCCACTGATACAACGGGGAGGAAACGTAGAGGGTAAATAAATGCAGGGTCACCCGGCAAAAAAAAGCTGAACCAGCTTTTGTCTGACTGCAAGAACATATTTCTGGTAAATTACTTATAACGTAAATATCATATTTCTACTGTTTAACCTGTCGATTGTCACAACAAACAATAACTTTCTTGAGAAGAAGAGAATCTTTCCTTGTGGCTTTACAAACAACTGTGACTTGTTTTGGTGTCTGATAATATGGATCATACTTCATATGTCTCAAAAGGTAATGCTGGGCTTCTTTTGGTCTAAACGCTCACTAAGACAGACAAAGATTACAGTCAACTTACTGTGGTCTCTCTCATGAGGTGGCCGCTGAGCCACTCTCGGACACCCTCCAGGTCCAGGTTGATGCCCACCAGCCCGAGCTTCCCACGTCGCTTGATTAGTTGATCTGGCTTTACCACGAGCCGCTAGAGTAGAAGCAAGTGAAAGACAAATCAGCCACGTATTACACAAAGTCACAGAGTTGCTTCAATACTGGTGTGACAAACAAAACGGATACCAGGCTAAAATATGATACAGGTATCACATAATTTCCGCCATTATGAATGACGAGCTTTACATATTTCCAGTTAATTTGAATAAAAGCATGCGCACAATGATGGCTCAAACTAGGGAGGAAAATATCCTTGTTTCAACTGTATGTTAATGGTGAGATCACTCTTTACCCATTCATTCACTCTAGTTTAGTTGACAACATTCTGCCTACCTGCTTATGCTACTAAAACTGATCTACAACATGCCATTACCTACTTCTATAACCTGTGCTGTATTCTATTTTAACTTAAATCACAGCTGTATAAAAATATTACACATTTCTTGATATCTTGTATTTCTCTATTATATTTTGTGATTTAATGTGTATTTCTTTCTGCTGTGTTATATCTGGAGCTGCTGTAACAAGTGAATTTCCCCAGTGTGGGATCAATAAAGTCTATCTTATCTTATCTTATAATATAATATGAAGCACAATTTGTCCAATGTCCTACTTAAACCATCTTCTTATATCACCGAGATCACTTTCAGTTGTGCCAGGTTGTAAGGAGTTACTTGTCCAACATTATAAGTTGAAGAATTCGCCCTTGCAAGCAAGCACTAATTTCTTTAAAAATAAGTACACACAAAACCCTACCAGTCAGTCAATGCATCTAAATGCACAGTCACATGCTACTGTGACGGTAATGACATAATGTTCTGCAAGTCGTGCAGAAGGAGTTTCAGTGACATGCAGTTTGTAATTAGCCTCAAGATTTCAATATTCCTCTTCCAGCGGAGGAAACAACTTAAAACCAAGACAGGCTATTTATCAGAAGGCTCCTTACCTCTGTTAGCAGCCATGGATGATCCTGTGCGAGGCGGTCCCAGTCGGTCTCAGCAGTGACACTGGCGTAGCGGAAGCGGTTCTGCACGGCCGCGGAGGTGCAGACATGCTTATACAAGAACTCTTTTCCTGTCTGCTCTGAGATGGCTTTCGCCGACATGGCAGCGCTGGATAGCACAAGACCTTTAGGAAAGGGAGGCCAGCAGTTAATTTAATGGTTGCAACAACATCATGTGGCTAAAACAAACAAAAAACAAGGCATAGATATATTTTGAGCAACTAGAAACTACAGGTCAAGTCAATTCAGATTTTTTTGACATTCATTGGAGTTGCATGCCTGTCGAAAAATCTGAAATCCCAGAAAATAAATCCAGGTTTTATGCACATGATGACATTGTTTAAACAGTCACACAATAATGCTTTGAAAAGTCATATTTACTAGCCTCAATCTAATTGGGCACATGTTTTATTGAATTCAAGTGGCCTTGTTGATTTTCACAGTGACAAATTGTTTGCTACAATCTGTGCTCTAACTGAGATAAAACTGTAAAAGTATTCCCCATCTGCTGTACGGATCGAATGCTCGACTGGCAATGAAGATAACTACCAAAATAAACGATTAATAAAGATTATTCTGTGCACCAGTACTTAGAAATGCTGAAAATGAGCTTGTCTTAAAAACCTTCATGAACTAGTATCCCTGGGCACAATAAGGAATCCTACACATACCAACTCATACTTCCTCTCTGCTTATTTTGTTTGTGCTGTGCATAAATGTTGTAATTCAACTGAAAGATATCTCTCTCTGTTTAGGCTAACACAGCAAGCCACTGGAATAACCACAGATCAAACAGTAATAATGCAGATTTTTAAGGTTCTCGTACATGACTGGTGACAGCTGAATTACTCTTTGTTCTAAACTTAGAAACCTTGGATCCTCACTGAAAATAAATCCTTTTGTACTTTCTCTGTTGAGCTAAAGATTGGTGTCAAACTGTCATACTCATTCTAAAAAGGTAACACAATGATTCTTATTTTCAGATGATCGTACACTAAATGAAAACATAGCCATGAATATTATGTTCCATTTGCCGGTAGATCCTCCTAAATGTAACACACAGGGCCTTTAAATAGTGCATACACAGTTAGATGTAGTCCCCTTCCTTTAATCAACAAACCAGCCTTTATCTAACATGTGGGTGGATATACGCGATGTTAGTATCGAGAGCAAAGACACAGCTAGAGCTTAAATGATTCTCCAATCAAGGGGAAATTCATCTGCAAATATTGGTTCTTTGTTTCAGTAATTTTCCAAACAAAAATAACTATAATTTTCTGGTTCCAGCTTCTCAAATGTTGTTTTTTTCTGTTTCATATCAACCTAATTTAAGTATCTTTGGGTTTTAAACCGCACAATTTTAATGGGAAGCCCTAGATTAAACCACTGAAAAATAAATAAAATACATTCTATAGTAATCTGTAGTTTAACAGGCCATCCAAAATGTTTGGAAATTGCACAACACCGTATGTTTATCTGAGGAAAGAGATGAGCCTACACAGAGACAACAGGTTGCACTGATGGTCTTGACATTCCTGTTTCAAAACATCCCCGCATGTTGTCAGACCTGCTCAGCCAACTTACTGCTGTCAAAGCCGTAATGTCACACACCCGTGCATTTACTGGCCATGTTTCAGCTCTAATTTCTTTTTAAAAAAGGAGACAACTCTGAAGCAGCTGGTGCACAAAACAGCCTAAACTGGTCCATAAAGTACATTTACCACCACCACCACCACCACAAACCAAACAGTGATACGCAGCGAGCCTTGATAACATGCATCCTATCTCATCTGTCTCTGTGTTACTGATAACAGTTTATGGTGGGTTTATTTCAGCTTCTGAAATGCAAGAAACCTTTGTTGTAGCGAGCTTCTGCATTCTTCACATAAAGTCAGTCTGCAAGGTTGTCTGTGATATCTAACCTGGAGGAGTCTGGCTAGGATTTAGCTTAGCTGACTTTCCTGTCATGCTTTCAGGGGGGCAGATGTCCCCGTATTTAGCCTGCCATAATCCACGGGTCCAGCCCATTGTTTGAAGCCATCAAGCCGTGAAATTTGTGCCACTGTGCAGACTCCTGAGACACTGGATTTTGGAGGCAGCAGCGGCATCACAGGCTCCAGAAAGTGGGCACACTGCTTCAAACGCAGCTGCTGTCTGATGAGCTTGGCGGTGCAGAAACATCACTTCTCCCATGCTAACTTACATCATGTGGCTGAACACAAGTGAATGAAGCTCCTGTACCAGCTACCACACCCACTCCACACACACACACACATAAACATATATACATATACACACACACACAGAGCTAGATGGCCAAGCAAGTTTTATAACTTCAGCTTGGCTCGCAGTGTGTGTAAATAAAGAACAACTTCAGGAGAGGAGGCGGATGTAAGTGGAGACACGAGAGAAAATAACAAGCTTGTCAAGGCAGGGAGATTGGTGAAGTTAGCATGTGTTGATATAATACGAGCACTGCTGCCCCCCCAGGTGAGTATCCAGTCAGTTAAATCATTTTACCGGCGCATTAACTATATTTTAAAAGGCTTAAAAATAAAAAAAGCAATCTCTGACAGGATGAAAGTGACTGCAGACAAACCTCCCAGCATCTCACATCCGCTTAAACCTAACATCGGACAAGCTAACTGCAGCAGAGTCAGCTACTAGCTCATTGGTAATAAGAGAAGCTAACTAACGGTAGCGGTGTTCAGAAAAAAAAAAAACAGCGAGCGAAAAACACTTACCTTGTCAATGAAAGTAGCACCTCCTCGAAGTACAGGCAGCGTGTCCTGCTCACAAACGACACGGCTAGAGAGTCACTACTTCTTGTACCGGAGTCCTCTCCTGCCAGCTGCCACCTCACTCCCGTCCTGTCGCACCATAATCTGCCGAGCGATTACACGTCGCTGCCGGCGCCTGATTGGTTGAAACGTGGTCACATGGTGATGTCGGCCACGCCCACTTCTTTATAATGAGCTACCCCCCCACTCACTCCCACTCCCACTATAATAAATCACTATAAAACCATTACATTTAAAATAGCCATTGGTCAAAATGACTCACTAACAATGGATGGATTTATTTTTTTTTTTTAGCCTCTAGTGATTACATTCAATTCAATTCAATTGAGTGTTAAAATATATGTATGTACAGTGCAGATTAATAAGAAAATAATAATTTAAAGTTGTAACTTGTAGTTTAAAAAACACACATATATTTTGTTTTTAAAATGGAAGTGTGGGTGGGTTACTCAATCTGCTGACTTATGCCGGTAGGAAGAATATTTTGCTCCAGCAGAAAAGGTGTGGCACAATCTTATAATGCACTGTATTCCTAATGAATACACCTCGTGCACGTTTTCTATAAAGCGTGGAACTCACACTGTCATTTTCCTTTTTTCAAGTGTTTGCTAAACTATGTAAAAGTTTTCCTGTAACCTTTGTTTACATACTTATTTGATTTTGCCTTTCTCTGTAGTCGAGGGAGGTGAGGGTTGGGGATGGATATAATGCCTATTATTCTTAGCTTTATTTCTTAATCTTACACTCATATTACTTGTCATGCCTAGTCTGTTTTGTTCTATGTTGTATGTGAAAAATTGCAATAAATATATTCTTCAAAGAAGAAATTTCAGGGACAAATGGAAAATTGTGTTAATTTCCAGCTGAAACATTACTCCTGTAAACATAAGTTTCAAGTTTGAAGTAAAAGTAGTACTTACATTCATACAAATCTTAATTTTAAAGCGCAGATGTACTAAATAAGTCTGGATAAGGAAACATTAATTTTGTTTGGATGGTTGGCATGGGAGTGGTATATGTGTGATTCATGACTTATGCAACATTTAACACATACTAGGAGCATGTTGACCCTGCTCTTGAAACATGAAAGCAAAGGGAGAATTCTGGAAATATCTCCAGTTAAGGAGCAGTATAGGGAGTGTGTTCAAACTTAACAGGAGTTTAGAGAAACGTAATATGATGCAGAAGCTGTTTGATTTACTGAACATAATGCACAGTGCTCCAGTGTTCTACAAAAACATCATACACATGCAAAATGAGAAGTGCAAGAATTTTAAGTATGTGGTGGTATGGTGGAGGAGACATGACATGATATGATACCCAGGTTGGGCCACGAGAGATAATACAATGATTCATAGATCAGTGAGAAAACAATAAGCAACAGGAGCTTTCAATCTGCTATCAGTGCCCCTTTAAAACAGGTGGAACAAGTAGGGGAATGGCTGTACCGACCCAACGTGCACGACAAGATTAGGTGGATGACATCTAGGTGTGACTGAAACTTAATTTAAGTTTTTCATCTTTAACAGGGCAAGTAGTTCACTTTCAATTCGTCTACTGGTCAGATATGAAAATGTTTTCCAGCTTTTGGTGCAGATTTTACTGTCAGAAGATAACTGATCTGCTCAGTCTTTGAAAGGCACCACCTGAATATGAACAGTAGGACAGATGTGTGGCTGATGCTTTCAACAGAAGAATTTTAAATATGAATGTGTATGTATGCTGATTTTGACCTCACAATCTGAGAGCAAAGAGGATGATAAACATTGGCACTCTGCTATATAGAGGTTAGAATATAGAGTACAGTAAGTATAGATAGATGTTGGAATGTAGGCTATTGGCACTACATGTTATGGGAATGCTGCGTGGTTCTTCCTTCAGGAAAGGAAGCGCTGGTGAAACTTGGATAGAAAGCCCTTACCGTAAGTCTTTCTGGTTAAAAACACTTTTACCACAGGGTGTCACCAAAGCAAAATTTTGATTAATACTGTCAGGTTTCATCATTGCAGCAAGATTTGTTTGCAAAAACTGGAAGAAAAACACTAGAAATAAATAGGTTAAACCTGTGACTGAAACAGCTTCCTTTGAATATTCACAAGCTAGGATGAGCAATAAAAAAGGTCTGGGAATATTTCTTCCTGTACATTAAGGGCTTATTGCATCAAAGGTTATAAGAAAATCAATGGCTAGATATGATGTAATAATATGGGAACATTTGTAAAGTTTTGTAATTGACTGTTTTATTTTAGTGTATTGTTTGGTTTTGTTTTAAATATCTATTTTAATAAAAACCTAAATAACAAAAAAAGTGCCCTCTTTCAGAGCTATACATTATACATTATTGGATCATATAACAATAATTACGGAGGAGCTCATTTACTTTACAGTATATTATGTTATGTAGTTTTATCTGTAGCAATGCATCATGTTTCTGTATGTAAAATCTAAATCTGAAAACTAATAACCACGGCTGTCAAACAAATGCAGTGGATTAAAAAGCACAAGATCTTCCTCTGAAATGTACTGAAGTAGCATAAAATGGAAAATACTCAAAATCTGAATCTAGAAAAAGATTAGATCAAATTAATCCAAAAAGAAATTTAAGTGAAAAAGTCCAGCATTACAGTAAAAGACGAGCCTTTATTTTTGTAATAAGAAAAGCATGTCTTGTTAATACTGTGACAAGTTTTAAAAATGATACATAGATCAGTGACACAACTATTAACAACAGGAGCTTCCAACCTGCTATCAGTGCCCCTTTTAAAACAGGCGGAACAAGTCGGGGAAGGGCTGTACTGACCCAACGTGCATGACAAGACTAGGTGGGTGACAGCTAGGTGTGAGTGATGGTGCATGAAAGGAAATGTTAAGTCTTCATATTTGACATGATGATGAATTCACTTGCAATTTTGTTTACTGGCCAAATATGAAAAAAAGGTTTTCATATGAAAGAGCACAAAAAAAATAAAATAAAATAAAAACATGCTATACATAACTGTTGCCTTTTGCAAATAGGATGTGCTTGCTCTGCAGCTTTTGATGTAGGTTTTACTCGAAGAAGGTTCATGGATCTGCTCATTCTTGTAAGGCACCACTTGAATTTGAATGGGACAGTTAGGACAGATGTGTGGTTGGTGCTTTAAACAGAAGAAAATCTTTAGGTGTACAGGTATGTATGCTGATTTTGGCCTCACAATCCAAGAGCGAAGAGGATGGAAACATTTACAAACCAGTCTCTTAAAAAATTGAGGATGACATGGAACACTGGCACTGTGCTGTATACAGGTTATAATGTACAGTACAATAAATATAAATAGACCGAGGGAAGAATGAAGAAGAAAAATTTATGGACAAAAAACGATTTACATTCAAGTCAAATATACAATGCAGCATGAAGAAAAGGAGAGGAAACAAAAACCCTGCAAGTCGATTCTATATTTGGCAAGTGAGCCAATAAAACCTGGACACACACCCTCAAGGGACGAGTGTTGTCCTTAACAGGCTGTCCTGAGGTCAGTTTTGACATTGAACTTCCACAGTACAATGCCTCTTGCTTTATAGACATGCTATCCCAGGAGAATCTTAAAAACGTATATCATGTTATGTCTTCTAAAACTATTCCACCATGATGCTTACACTTTCAATTTATTTCTTACTACTGATCACCTTTACGAAGGTTGAGGCAGTTTTACAAGATTAGATTTAATTTAATATCATTTTGATTTTGGCAATAGGGACATGCTCCAATCAGCTGATCCAAACCTCTTAAAAAAAACAAAAAAAAAATAATCTTAAACACCTGTTTATTTACAGTGTTAACTCATACCTAAAGCCTCTGAATTATCCTTCCCATGCTTTGTTAGCATCAACGCAAGGAGTAAATTTAGGAGTGAATGCAAAAACCTCTTTAAAAAGAAAAGTGAGGAGGTTTTTGCAAGTCACTCAGGAGAATGAGCATTGGGAGGTGACTGAGTCCAACTTCATTTTGTCCACTGCAGGGCTGCATTTTCCCACATGCTCCTCCACTTTAGCCAAATTGGAAAAAGAAATTTCCAGGTGCGGATTCTAGAAAAAAAAAAAAAGAAGAAAAAAGAAGTTAGTTAAGAGGATGCACTTACGCTGATTAATAATATCGTGTTTCAATAAGGTTGAGGATGTCAAAACTGGAAAAGAAAAACACACCTGGACTGGAATCGAAACTGTATCCTCCACCATGGCCACCAAAGAAAGCTCTGAAGATGTTGTTTGCATCGAAATCTAAAGAGAACGTAAAGGCAAATATAGCGGGATCAGCTGACAACCTTCAGGAAGGATGTAAAAATAAATGACGTCATTTGCTAAACTAAACATATAATGGAGGTGAACTGAGCTGTTTTACATACTGTACGCATATTTTACAACTTTCAAAACCCAGGTTGTTGTGTATATACACACTGTATTGACAACAGAGAGAAACAGGTCGCCTGACTATTGTAGGAAAATCACAGACGTTACTAATAACATTAGATGGATCTGTCCTATCCGAGGGGGCCAGTAAGCCATTCACAATTTAAACAGTCAAATGGAATTCAGCCTGACTAAATTCATTGTTTACACCTGTGATCCAACTCAAGTCCAGCAGGTTGAATGTAAATCTAGCCAGAGTTAAGAATAAACTAAGCACATACCTCTCCCATCACAGCAGCCATCATCATCCAGGTCGTGTCCGTTGTCATAGCGGACCTTCTTCTTTGGGTCGGAGAGCACAGTGAAGGCCTCCCCCACCTCCTTGAATTTCTTTTCCTCTTCCTTTTGCACCTCTGGAGTTGCTGCGCTGTGGCGATCTGCAAGACAATGATACAACACAACAGAGATAAGATAAACAAATATAATCAACGTCAGTATCTTGCATGCCTGTGCAAACACCTGGATGGCTACCTGGGTGGTGCATAAGGGCTCGTTTGCGATATGCCTTCTTGATCTCATCCTCGGTGGCGTTCTTGCCGATCCCCAGCACCTTATAGTAATCTTTCCTCTTACTCTTCTTTAGCTCCAGCTGTGCCGTCTTCAGCAAGTGCTTGTGATCTAGAAGGATAAGATTAAAAATGTAAGTCATGTGAGTGCATGAAAACCTGACCAGTTAGTATATACGGTTAGTAAAAAAAACAACACAAAAAACAACTTACCTGATGTTTTTTCTGTCTGGTAAACTTTTTCATAGTCCCGTACGGCTTCCTCATACTGCTCTGTGTTCATGTAACTACGGGTTCACACAAAGTCACTCAAAAACTGGACAATGCCAAACAACAAAAACACACAAATGAGGAATAAAATTGTCATATTGACTGTATAGCATACCACTGAGCTCTTCTTAAGTAGGCCTTGATGTAAGTGTCATCTAGTTTTATTGCATTGGTGCAGTCATCAATGGCCTCATTGAGTTTCTTCAGCTGTTGAGGAGGAGGAAGTTAATTACAGTGGACTGGAGACAAAGAGCTGGAAGAGCCCGAGCACTATGCAAGGTTGCTATTTTTAGGCCAATAATCAGACATCATTATGAATGAAATGCCTGTGACCAGTAATTGGACAGCAGCATCTGCCAAATTTACACCCAAACATCGGGTGCCTTTACCTTTGCTCCTGCTGTGGCTCTGTTGCAGTAGAGTTTAGCGTTGGTCTTGATGTTGTTGGGGTCTATCGTCAGAGCCTCTGTATACAGCTGGTAGGCAGCATCATAGTTGTTGTTCTTGAACGCCTGGTTGCCCTCGTCTTTCTTGGCTTTCAAGGCTTTGGCATTCTGATTTTGGAAGAAAACAAGTCCTCATGTTTCTTTTAAAACATTTACTCAGATTTGCAGTGAAATTTAATGGGTGCAAAATGTCTAATAGGACTTACGTTCAATGAAAACAAAAGTAGATTAATGTACTTGTACAAAAAAAATGAAAATTTTAAGAGTCACAACAGTTCTTTGTTCTTGTTGTGTTAACAGTAGTTACGGTATGAAATAGTGAACCGTCTATCTTTGTAACTACATCTTGGCTGTTCTTACACCAAGGTGTAAAACCCCCACCATCATCAGTAAGTGTAGTCTTTGTAATTGCAAATGTGTTGCACTGCACCCAAACATAAAAGCCTTTACAATGGCAGAATTAGTCGTGCAATTACAGTTATTATCTATTTTTATACACATTTGTTGCTTTTAGTTTTAAAACAAAATTATAGATAGACAAAATGACAATCTTACCCTGCAGGCTAGCCGGGCCTTTTCATGGTCAGGTGCCATACGTAGAGCCTGGACAAAGAACTGGACAGCTTTGTCGATGCAGTCTTCATAGTAGAGGCACAGACCTCGAACGTAAAGAGCGTCTGCGTTCGTGGAATCCATTCGCAGGATATCACTGTAAAATAAATGTTTGTAAATGAAACATCTGCTGTTATAACCTCAACAGCACCCTTTTTATTGCCAAACTAATGAAGCAGGTCCTATTCTCGGGAATCAGAGAAGCTAGAACTATAAAATTGCATCATTACAACAAAAAAGGGCTTGAAATGTCCCCCCCCCACTGTCTAATTTCAACTGTCGCAGACCAAACTGATCAATAAAAGCGTCACAGCAAACTGCAGTGCAAATGCAAACCTGTTTAACAAACAATTTAAATATTTACAAACTGTAGGAACACCCTAATCCAGAGATCCGGAGCAACAGAGTGAGAGAGAAGATCATACATCCTCCACACAACACACCACTGACTGCTTGTGCACAGCAATTAACAAATGAAACAATATATATTCCATTACTCATAAACGTAATAATTTTATTTCTAAAGATACATTTCTCTACTGTCCCAGAATTGTCCCAAACACTGTATCTTTGTGTCCCAGGTGCTATTTTTTACTGTTCCCGGGACAAAGGGACATACTTAGTTTCGAGCCCTGACCGTGAACCTAGCACCAGTTGTACCTACCTTGCTACTGACTGGGCTTCTGGATAGCGTCCCAGCAGAGCAAGACACTCAGCCTTGAGGATCTTGAAGCGGTGGCAGGCAGAAGCCACAGCTAAGGCCCGGTCCATACAGAACACCACCTGGATCAGGACAAATGCCAAACACTAATGTAAAAAATGTTGCATTTCCAACAAGCTGTTCAAAGTGTTAACATCAAAACAGAAGGTTTCTGTAAACAGGCTGTCAACCACTAAAGAAAAGTTCCTTAAGTTCTTCATGTAGATGACTGGAAAATGTATCTGATTGTTTTTCCAGCATATTTGTGCTTAAATTTGGACATAAATTATATTGTGATGCCACGGATGTTGCTTATATTTTCCAAGTCCAAGTTAGACCACACTAACAACTGATTACATGACAAATCAACTAAGAATGGGCATTACTTTGTGAGATTAGTCAAAAAACAGAGTGGGTGTAAAGTACCTTTCTGAAATCCCGCTTTTCGAAGCCAAAATCCGCCATTCGTTCGAACTCCAGTAGAGTCTCTGCAGTCTTATTCTAAAATAAAACAGCAGTCATCAATCATCACTTTCTTCACAACAGTAATAGACGAGTTTGAGTGGCATGATTCAGTCTTTGGCTCAAAGCGTGTGCTTAGATTGTAAATCAATTCAATGCATACTTATACAGTAATATAATAATACAGTAAATAAAATGTAAAAAGTTCTGGTGATCCCCACCTCCTGCTGGGCCTCTCTGTTGGCGGGCTCCAGCTCCAAAACCTTCTGAAAGGAGCGACTAGCGGCCATGGCATTTCCCAACAACAGGTGGCACTTGCCCTCACGTAGATGACCCTGTATGACAGGAGGGGCATAATTCCTGCTTAGGACTGTGTAAAAACTTGCTCACTATTCTGCAAGTGCAACTGGAGTTTTGAGACAAAAAGTGGTGAGCAAAGTTGACAATCAAGATGATGTTTTTCAATTCAAGAGTCTGTTCAAACTGACCTTCATGAAACAGTCATCCAGCCGCACGGCCTGCTGGGAATCTTCTAGGGCCTCTCGAAAGCGACGGAGCATCATGAGGGTGGCTGCCCTGTTGCCATAATAACTGGCAGTTCTAGGGGATGCATCTTGAGATTAAAGGAAGAAAAACATGTCACACGGGCAAACTTAGATGTTGGTACAAATTATATATATATCTGAGAATATATGGGCCCATATCTTCACAATATAGAGTTTACTGAAAATATATTTTGAAGTCCAGACAAATGACAGAAGTTAAGATACTCCTGATACTGTTTTAATGTACATGGAAGGAGCATGTGTTGTCGTCACGCAGGGGCAATGACTCAGTTGGCAATAGCAATGTTTTATTGTTCATTTTGTTTTGTTGCTGGGAAAGGTGCGGCTAGAAGAGATCATCAGCATTACTCAACAGGAGAGTATGAACTACGATTGGTCAATGGGTGCTGTGTACATTCACATTGCCAAAACTTAAATTACAGCAGCGATGATAGTATGTCTGTGGTAATCTCACCAATGGCCCTAGTGTAATAGTTGAAAGCCTCAGAGTAATCCTTCTGGCTGTAGAATGCATTTCCTTGCTCTTTGAAGCCTTCAGCCTGACTGGAAAGGGGAGAAAAAGAAGCCAACGTCAAGGGGGAAAAGGTGCGAAAATAAGAGAAATCAGTTGATACAACGTAAAACAAAGACAAGCAATAGACTAGCGGGAATATACTGAGAGTGAAAGACTTCAGGCACTGTCATCAAATCCAGACCAGACGAGAATTTCTTGCAAACGAGGCGCGAGTGTGTTACACCTGGAACTGGGACAGCAGAGTAGGGTACACACAGTCCTAATAGCTCCGGTACTAAACATAGCAGTGAAATTCACCTGCTGCAGTCCTGTCAAATGTACAGGGTGCTAAAGGGTAAATCTGCACTGATTCACAGAACTACTACTACTACTGCTGCTGCTGCTGCTGCTACTGTGGGTTTAAGCATGTTGCTATTCATGCTAATCAGTCGACAGTTACATCAAGGTAATTGTTTTCAATCAGTCAAAAAATTTAATTAAAAAACAACTTTAAGATCACAAACTAAAGTTGGGTGCAGAAGAGAAAAATTAAACCCCAGTTAGATTTTAATTTAGGGTCCAGTTGCAATTCCCAAAGGCCAAAACATGCCCAGGTAAGTGTCAGTGTTTGATATTAAAAAAATGGGCTTTGGCCCAACATGTGCTATTGAGAGACTCAAAATGGTGTCCAAGAGCATAACTGAAAAAAAACAAAACAAATACAAATAAAGGATGATATCAATATATTACAGCTGCGATAAGCCAACCGCAGCTGATAATTCAAAAAATTGCGAGCAAAACGTAGTGGCACGCTACCAAGTTTGAGACAATACAGCCATCTTAACGAAACAGGGAAAAAAGGGAAAAAACCTCGTTATTCTGAATATTCCAATCTAATCTTCTAAACTAATTATTTTCTTTGTATGGTAACAGGTAATTGTAATTTAATAAGAGACAACATTTTGTTTTATACAAAGTTATGCAAATACATGCAACTTTAGTTGGCAAGTGTACAGCACTATCAGTCCAGCAGTGCCTGTAAGGCACATACAGTGGTTTACCTTAAGAGCGAATAAACCCAAAGACAATGAAGAGGCACCACCAAAGATGAAATGTGTGTTAGAAGTCTAATAAACATGTTCCCTCCATTTCAGGATTCCCAAAATATAATTTCAGACTTATGAAAGAGTCCATTAATGTTACCAAACTATTTGCATCTTACCGTTTGGTGTAACTTAAATGTGACACTGACAACAGCAGTTAAAATTGATCTTAGTCATTTTCCTGTCTGTATTTAAAGCCCATAACTACAGCTTGGTGATCCCTTTTCACACACTGGCAACTCACTCGTCAGAATCAGTGACATCTTTTAAAATCACTTCTTAAAGCTTTTTATTAATGCTAGCACAGAGTTTTATTTCCCACACGTCTAAACTATTTTATTATTATTATTGTTTTTATCTTATATCATTGTTAGGGCTCCCCCCCCCCAATTTGTATTTGGTTGATTTCATTTGCCTCACTGCAGTCGTGATATGTTTTAATCCTGGTTAACCCAGGATTAACGCCGTAATTTTTGTCTGAAAAGTGCTGTATAAATTAGGGCTGCACAATTAATCGCAATATTACTGAAATAGCAAAATGGCCAAGTGCAATACTCAAATCACAGAGGTAAAATGTGTGACGAAACGGCATTATAACAAAGTACTGTAGTGCTGCAGACATTCCCTGACCTAAAAACATTCAAACGTGTGTTTGCTACAGACCCCAAATCGTTTTTTTTCAAAGAAAATTAAAATTATGATTGCAAAAATGACAATAATTGTAATCGCAGTCGCAGTATCTGTCAAAATAATTGCAATATGATTTTATTTTTACCATATGGTGCACCCCTAGTATAAATAAAGTTTATTTTTAACACCTGTAAGGGTATCTTGGATTATTTAAATACTGGATAAAGCACTTAATGTGACAACCTACATATTCCTATAGTCTGTCTTTAACATGTGGCATGTTATGAGCCGGGTAAGGTCTCATATTAATAGGTATTGTGCTTGTAGTGATTATAAATATTTAACCAAGGTCCCATAATATAACATTACATTACATTACAGCACATCAATAAAAGTGTGCTGTGTCAGTGATGATTCATCCGGATAGCTCAATTAAAATGAGCTAAAAACCACCGGAAGCTAGCTTTTTTTGATTTGCTTTAACTATTTAAAAGTTATATCAAGAAATGATATAATTAAATGACGGACAGTTTTAGGAGTTTTTAGTAAGTTTCTTAAATTAATCACCTTCACTTTTATACGTCCCCAAGTCTACCCAAAGCTATCCGCCTGCCTCGTACGGAACTTTCTCGATAGACAAAAGCATTGCCTGCTACCAGAGTCCAAAAAGAGACTCTACTAATTAATTAATTAATTTATTTATTTACCGTGCTAACATTTTAACAAGTGTCCATAAAACGACGAGTCTCCACAGACAATAACGGTAACGGTAGTTCCCGGCCGGGACACCTTTTACCTGAGCATGTGTCAGGAGACGCTAATTCACGTCTCTTTCCCGACAATGACGTTAAAGGAGGCAAAGCGAATTAATTTGAAAAAAATAAACAAGTTGTTAAATTTAAAGCAATCGAAACTAGAAATAACGCCAATGGCTGTAATGAATGAAAACCGATTAAAAAAAAGAAATTTAAAAAAATCTAAGATTTAGCCAAAAGTGGTACCACACTGCTAGCGAGCTAGCCTGGTTAGCATGTCTCCGGGCTGGTCACGCGAGCCTCGGCTAACGACGGTTGATTTCAGTTGGAAAATCTTCGGTTATTTTCCCGTTAGACGCGCGGCGCCGTTAAACTCGGAGGTCAACTGTGACGTTTACCGCTCCAGGTCGTCCGGATTGTGGATCTGGGGTTCGGCGTCCACCGGCACGTCGATGTCAACAGCTGCCATCTTTTTTTTTTCTGGAAAGGACGACCACGAACTGACGTCATTTCCGGGTACTGATGGCTTCGTTTTTTTTTTTTTTATTTATTTATTTATTTATTTATTTATTTATTTCAATTGAGGTCATGAGAAACTAGGCCACTACAAGAAAGGAAAAAAAAAACCGAAACAATAGCATCAGAATTACAACATCTATTTTCCTAAAGCAGGATTTGTATCATATGAATGTTTTTTTTTTTTCTTAGATATTATTTTATTGATTGATGTTTATAACCTACATACATGAGCGTTTCAAAATAAAAGTTACAAAAACTTAAATAAATAACAATATTGTGCAACTGTATATACTGTATATATACGTATGTATATATTATACATATCATACATACATATATTTTTTATTTTACTTTATCTTCTATTTTAATTTTTAATTCTATTCTTAAGGTTAGGGATTTTAATTTTAGTCTAATGTATGTTTAATGTATACTTTATATTTTATCTTCTATTTTAGTTTTTAATTCTATTCTTAAGGTTAGGAATTTAAATTTTAGTCTAATGTATGTTTAATGTATGTTTTGTATTTTGTATGCTACTGGATACTTGAATTTCCCTCTGGATAAATAAAGTATCTATCTATCTATCTATCTATCTATCTATCTATCTATCTATCTATCTATCTATCTATCTATCTATCTAGTTTTTATGCGTGCATATGTTGTCTATGTACGTGTGTGTATGTGTCTATTTATTTATACACTGTTTTATTCTATTATGCATTGTTCCTTCCTTGTTGTTGTTATGGCCTTTTGTTGTATATTGCCTGTTGTGACTTATGTCTGTGAAAAGCGCAATATAAATAAATTTTACTTACTTACTTCTACTTATATACATTTTTCAATAAACTCATGAACTTACATCCAGTCATTTCACTATGATATCAGACCTCACCTGAGAGGCTACAGCTACCAGATTCTTCTGAATAAAATTATTCACAAATGAACAGTTAGACATGCTGTGGATAATTTTGCAAATAAATAATGTCCATGTTAAGAGCTGGGGGAAAAAAGCACTCTCACCTTCCATTAAATCTGTTTTTTTATTTACAGTTAATCTCTTTGTAAACATGGAGACACAACATTATCTATCCTTTAAGGATGTCTCTATCAATGAAACTAAACATGATTTTAAGTGGGGCCAAATAAGTGTAGGAAATAGGACAGACATCTTCCTACCTCTGTGAGCCTGTATGAGAAATATGGCTAGAGGGCACTAGAGTGTCATAAAGTATAAAGGTACTGTATTGGGGCCACATACACCACATCGGCAATAACTTTGTATTTTGCTTTTTTTTTTTATCTTCAACTATGATGTTGTGTTTATGTTGTTTTTTCTAAGTACTTCAGTGTTTTAAAAACCTCAGCAGTAATTCACCACATATGTAAGTACAATGCAGTACACAGGTGCATTCATTTTGTACATTCATTAATCAGAACAGTACCGTACTGATGATGCAAATGTGCAAGAGTGTGCTTTGATTAAAGACCTTTAGCTTTTACATCAGATTTTTTTTCATGTCTCCACTTCTGTCCATATATGACCTCTACAGTAAGTTTAAACATTATTAAATAAATTTTTACTGCAGTGGCCAGGTTTCAATTTTCAGCCCTTTGCTGCATGCCATCTCCAGTTTCCTGTCTCTGTCCAGCTGGTCCTATTAAATAAAGGCAGTAAAAGCCCAAATAACCTTTAAAAACACTAAGTTACATTAACACCCTGCCAAACCTAAAAAAAAATAAAGCAACTCTAGTTGCCAGACAGGCTATTTCATAATCTAGACCTTTAATCAAATCACACAACCTGTTGCATTAATGGCTTGTAGGCCTACAGCGGCAGGGTTTACCAAGCTGGATTGAAATCTCTGGGTCTGACTAAACCATGTACTCAGTCTATTTTGTAAATGCAACAGCGCCCTCTACTGGCTGCAGATAATGCATACATCTACCTGTACTTCACCTATGCAGGTCAGAATGACCGTTTCCACATGAAGAAAGAAACCACCACAAGTGTGTAAAAACAGTACTATTTATAAGTTCATATAGAATACATTATCGACAGTTTTTAGCACATAATAATTTACATTATTGCAATTGATGCACAGTTACAATAGTCATTAATTTCACCAGGTGACACTTCAAAAATACATATTGCTTAGGATGATTCAGCACAATAAGGTGGGAGGGGATTTCTAAAGTAAATTAACTTTTTTTTAAATACAACTCTATAAAAAAAATAACATGTTTGATAAACACATTTAAAGACATTTAAAAACTTGTGGATAAATCATTTTTGGGGAACAGCACACATCAGCCTGTTCATATTGCACAAACAGCATCAAGCTGCTGCAAAATCATAACTTATTGACCTAACCATCACCTGAAGAGCTTGTTGTAATGGCTCATGTCAAAGAAATACAATTTTCAAATTGTATAGCTTTATATTTAACCATCTCATTATATTGTGTTCAACATAGCAAGTATTCTATATATCTTATATCAGGGTGGTAGTTGATTGTCACCTCAAGACACAGACTAAGAGACAAAATGAATGTATGTATTTATCTAAAATGAATTCTAAATTCAAAAGCATACACATCAGACAATGGCTGTAAAGGTATAACTTTGTTGAGATGCAATATCCTCAGCAATTCAAGTTATAGATCTCCTTTGTCTTTTCATAGGTGGAGGTCGGTGATATGAAAGTAATCAGTTTCATGGATTTTCTTGATTTCGATTTGGTTATGAAAAATAAAGCAGGAATGAAGTATTGTACTTGTTCTCCCAGAGTACGACTAAAAAGCTCTCAAATTTAAAGAATTTTGGCAACTAACACTTAGCAACATCTACACACCCTAGTGTATTAGTCTATTATTGTCTTATAAATAAAACTACAGGATGCTTGTCATTATGGCTTCCAGAGGGGTCCAGACCCCGGGGAACATGCACTCAACAGTTTGTTGAGGGGAAACAGCTGAGTGATAGTCCATTTTTAAGAGGGGAGGAGACACTGGTCAGTCAGCACTGAAATCTCAATCCACACCAGGGGATTGTGGATACTGGTCTTATGACTTGAACCTGCCAAACTTGACATGATGATATGCTGGCCTTGCGGTCGCTGCATAGTGTCCTAGTGTCCCTCAGGGGGGTCCCATGCTTTGTCCTCACTGGTTCAAGATAAACTTTTCTGTTAGTCCAGTTGTGGCTAAGGTTAGGCCCTCCAGTCTAGCTTGACTCTTTGCTAGTAAGGAGAGAAGATAATAGGCGTATGTGTGGCCCTCAGAGGTCCTGGGGCAGGCCTGAAGAGCGTGGGGCTGATCAGGGGACCCTGGATGAAGGCCGCGGGACCCGGTGGCAGCCGTAGGGCCAATGGTCCAGACGCCATGGTGCACAAGGCAGCTGGATTGAGGGGACTGGTCAGGAACCCTGCCGGCAGGGCCTTGGATAGCTGTTTCTGCAGAGCCAGTTTAGTCTGAAACCAAAGACAAGAGACATGTTCAGTCTAAACAAGACCCTAAAGTCATTCTAGCAGCTCTTTGAAGCTGTACATAGACACAACAGAGCTTAGAGTTAAATGAACAATAAGCATACTAAAATGCTGACTAACACTGACATAAACAGTCAGAGTCATTAGGATTCATTGTCTGGGGACCATGCATGTCTGTAAAGTAGTGGACCGACCAAGCAACACTGCCAACCCCAGAGCAGTGCTGCTAGCGTGACTAAATAAATGCATTTAATGCCTACAAGAAATAACATTTAGAAATCAGCATTGTTATTCATATAGTATGTGCACCAACTGTAGTGCTGTCACATTAGATCTACTCCTTTGTTCTTTGGAAAAGAAAAGTTAATTCTTTATTTATTTTGTAAACTTGTAACAAGCTTGAATAAGATCCATTCTGAGGCATCTATTGAGTATGTCTATGTATTGTTATTTAATGACCATGTGGGATGTAGACAAAGAAAAAGTAGTCAAGTGGGTGTTTGACAAATTCTTACCGCTAAGATAGCGCTGGGCTGTAGTTTATTATAGGGGGTGAACTTAACCTTGACAGGCTTCCCAGCCAAGCGCTCTTTGTGTCTCCTGCTGTTCATGTGCTAAAAGTGGACAGACATATACAGAAGAGTGATTCAGTCAGGACAGCTCTGACTAACACTGAAGAGCCAACAAATTGGGTAGTTTTACCTTGTAGAATACAAAGGTTAGGCATTTTTTTAGTTTTTATACAGTGGTCAGTAGTAAAATTAGTCACATTTATTTCATTAGTGTAAACCCACATACCTGCTTCAGCTGTGTCTCTGAGTTGACGGACACCTGGCACATTTCACAGTGAAAGGGCTGACTGGATACACCCACAACCGCTCTGGTCTTGCTGCCCATTCGCTGCTTAATTCGGCAGGTGGGTCTTGGCGATGACGTCATCTTGACCCTGCGTTGTGAATGGCTGCTGTTCTGACCATCAAGCATCTGTTTGTGCTTAGAGCCTGATTTAGAGGACCATCACAATAATCTATTGTTAGATTGTTACAAGGATCAAATAGCAAATGACTTTAATGTTAACTATAGTACTATCAATAGTATTGTGGTACACACCACTACAGTGGGCCTCCAACTGGGAGCTGGAATTGACCGTCACTTTGCACGTGGGACAGTGGAGAAGTTGTTTTTTGTTGCTTTTGGCCTCCTTAGCCTCCTCTACCTTCACCACCTCCTCCTCACCTCCTGTGGGGCTCCCCTGAGGGTCAGAGTGTGGGGCTGAACCAGTGGACGGGCTGCCCACCTCCACATAAGAACTGTCTGATGGTAGATCAGAAAGCTGAGGGCCAGGGGAGATTTGTGGGGACAGCTGAGGTGAGCGGAGGGAGGAGGAGTCTGTGGATGAAGCCTGCGAGAAAGGAGTGGGTGCCAGCAAGTTTCCCTGGCCGTTTTCTGGTTGCTGCTGTGCAGGTTGGGAAGAAGTACTTGGGCCTGTGGATACG